ACCTTACAGAGATGGTTATTTTAAATGTGACAACAGGAGTGCAGACTTGGGCCTGCACTATTGATTTACTCATGATATTTATATAACATCTCTGAACAAGAAATGCTCACTGCAGCTTCTGCATGAAGCATGGGGGAGTACATTGCTGCAATCCAGTCTTGAATTAACCAATGCATGAACTACTATGGCAAGGCTTTCCCAATCCAAGAATGGACATAGCTGTTGAACCAGCCGCTGTTCGTAAAAAAACCACTTCCAGACACTAAGGCAACCTGAGCCTCCAGAGCTGGGTGTGGAAGCATCCCCAAATTGTGAACCTGCTCCTCCACGATGAGTGCAAACACATCTAGGATAGGCAATGGAACAATTTCTCGGACACAGGAAGCACTCACCCAAAGTGTCTCTGTCTTGCCAAGATTCAAGCTCAGTTTGTTTTCCTCATCCGTTTCACCTGTGTCCAGACAATGGCCCAGGGATTGCACAGCCTCTCCTGATTGTGGAGAAACAGAGCTTAGTATGCTCAGCATACTGATGGCACCTTGTCCCCAAACTCCTAATGACCGCTCCCAATGGCTGAATGTAGCTGCCAGGGTCCCCAAAAGCTCTCTCCCAATGCTACTGTCTAGACTTGCTCCTAAAGGTAGGATTGGAATACAGTGCCCCTAATTCCCCTTTCCTGGAGCCAGCCCAGGAATATGCCACAGTTGATGGCAAAGGGCAACCAAGGCCAACTCAGTTCCATGACCAGGCCTGAAGCCAGACTGGAATGGATCTAAATAACCTGTGTCCCACCACAGCCCTTTTCACCACCTTTTCCAAAAGCAGGTATTGGCAACTGGCCAATAGCTGTTCCAATCCAAAGGCTCCAGTGTACTCAATACTGGCCCTAGATAAGTATAAGACAGCTGCCTCAGTATAAGACACCTTCCTGTGTTCCTAAAACAAAAAAATGATTCTGTATAGTAGGGAAATGTGCTCTGCTCTCAGAAACTATATATATATTAAAATAACCATCCTTTGTTTTCTCAGGGAAAAGGCAATTTGCAGTTATTATGGGGGTTTTCAGCAGGAGTTGCCAAAAGGTTTACAAAATGAAGCTGGCAAGTATCTCTCTGCATGTTTGTCAATATATTTTATTATACTTATTACACTATTTACATTCGGCTTTTCCAAATACTGTTCGAAATGACCCAAATAAGGGCTGAATACAAAACACACCGTGCTTTTAACAAGCATTAAGAAAGGACGCGTCTTTCTTAACCTCTGTGAAGTCACTAAGGTTCCCACAGTGTAGCAGGAATTTTCTCAGGCCCAAAGAAAATGTTGGGAAAGGCCTTAGCCTGCAACTGCTGATAGGCTCCCTTGGACCTGCTTGTTTGATTAGTTCTCTCATCTTCTCCATCTCAACTTTCCAATGCTTCTAGGATATGCAAAATGTATTTTTATTGCTCATTTTTTTGCTCTGCACATCTATGCCAAGAGCATTTATACAGGTGGTCGAAAAGAACAGATTGCTTTGCTTCCTCGCCCTGTTTCTCGGCATCAAGACTTTACTATGCACAGCGTGGGGCTAAACAGACAGCAAAACAGGCCTCCAGGACTTGTCGTCTAGAAGATTTGATAGCAGAAAGGAAAAGCTGGATCTCTCCCTTCACGCACATGTGAGCAAGCACAAAAAAAGGATTTTCATCACAAGAATGAACGTGCAGGTTAGGAGTTCCATACGATCCATAGGGGGTTTTTTGGTTGGGGGTGAGCCTGTCTTTGCTGATAATACATAGGGAAAATGAAGGGAGGGTGGTTTTTTCTTTTTGTTTTGCAATGTGGGATAGAAATGGTCTTCATTGTTCAGGCATTCCTGGCAGATGGTAGACCACGAATCTTGCAGCAGAGACATGGGGCGTGATACTCTCTGATGAAGTACTGGGGATTTCCAGCTGATGACTAGCATATTTTTTTCCAATGTAACCTCAGCAATGTAGATTGCCTATAAATGCCCATGCCCATACCCTGAAGTGCCAGAACCACACCACGTGGTGATGACATATTGCCTTTCTCCATTACAGTGGTACCTCGGGTTACATACGCTTCAGGTTACAGACTTTGCTAACCCAGAAATAGTACCTAGGGTTAAGAACTTTGCTTCAGGATGAGAACAGAAATTGTGCAGCAGCAGTGGGAGGCCCCATTAGCTAAGGTGGTGCTTCAGGTTAAGAACAGTTTCAGGTTAAGAACAGACCTCCAGAATGAATTAAGTTCTTAACCCGAGGTACCACTGTATACCACTCACACTGCTATTTTGCTTCATAGTGCACTTGAGCTGGATGAAGTGTTTTCATGTTGGTACGAATCAGTTAGCCAGCAGGAAAAGGGTGCTCCTGATAGGATGGAGTTAATCTAGAGTGGACATGAAATATTGCAAATTACACTAAAATGGCCCCAGATTATTCTGGACACAAGCTCATACGACCTACAGTTTTCCAGTAGCTGAGCCAGCCTATTCCTATTCCAACATTCACATATTTGCAGCTTTTCACAAATCAAACGGAGTCATGCAGGTGAAAAGCTTTGAAGGTCCAGCAGAAAGAAATGATCTCTCTTTCCCTCTGCCACTGCCCCTGCCCCACACAATACCTGGAAGGATGCAAAAATTGCTTTCTGATGCAATTAATTCCAAAACTGAGAGGTGCAGGGCGGAGATCGGGGTATAGTACTTGCAAAAACTGTATATGAAAAGGTTACATTAAATTTTTACTTGAATTGCATGTGTATCGTACGTCTACTATTTCTATCAGACATTTACTTGTTATGCATAGTAAACACTTATTTTCCTGATACAGTAATACAAAAAGGATGAAATAGTTTGAATTCCTTGAATCCAAATGCTGTATTTAATATTCCGTTTCTATAAAGCATGTGTCAATCTTGTAGTTAAAGCTGTTGAATGAGTATTTGCATGAAAGACGGCTGGAATGAAAAAAGCTTTGGATGATTACAAGAAACAGAAATTTTGTAATAATGGAAAAGGGATTTGGTTTATGAGTCTCCCTGTTAGATCTACCAAGGTAAAGCATATGTGCGCATCTATAACTAAATTGCTTCTCTTTTAGCCTGAAAAAGTAGCCAAAAGGAAAGTCTTACAAGCAAATGACCCCCATCCAGCTAGGAAGCATATGTACCTGATGAGGAACTGCATATGCAGACAGGTGCTGCATGTGTGATTCTAAGCCTAATCCAGTTGTATGGACTGGCTGTGCAAAACTCCAGCCAGAAAACTGGCAAATAGTGCCAACTGGCTTTTCCAGAAGGAGGCTGGATTTAGCCTTTCCCTCAACAGCTGATTGGCAGCATCCCTGATTATTCACAGGGGACTACATTCAGGCAGCTGAATGAGAGTGAAAAGGCAGAAGTACTGGCAACAGTTTCCTTAAAAATGGTTGCAGACAATTAACTAAGCCAGTGGTTCCCAAAATCTGTACACAAAGCATCCCATTCTAAACTCACCCACCTGGATATAAAATCCAGGACTTACTTCTATGTAAAGATGTTTGATTGCGACCCGAGAATACTCACCTGTAGTATTTTGAGTATGTAAATAATCTACTAGTTGGCTAAGGTCACAATGTAACAAGTCGCTGCTTAGCCTTTGTGACTGCACTTTTTTCAGAATTCACTTGTAGGAAAGTTCAATAGAAGAAAGCTGCACAGACAAAGCCACACCAAATCCCACATACCGTATTTTTCGCTCTATAAGACGCACCAGACCACAAGATGCACCTAGCTTTTGGAGGAGGAAAACAAGAAAAAAATATTCTGAATCTCAGAAGGCAGAACAGCAAGAGGGATCGCTGCGCAGCGATCCCTCTTGCTGTTCTGGCTTCTGTGATAGCTGCGCAGCCTGCATTCGCTCCATAAGACGCACACACATTTCCCCTTACTTTTCAGGAGGGAAAAAGTGAGTCTTATAGAGCAAAAATACAGTAACTTTCCTTTGGTTATGGAGCAATTTCATTTTTTGTTTTATTCATATCCTTCTTTCGCATCAGACAGAGGTTCAAGGCAGTTTACAAAGATGTTTTAAAATCATAACAGAACAAAAAAACTAACCAAGAACATAAAAGACAGAAATAAAAAGGCAGCATATAAACATAACAATATATTAAAAGCCAACCGTAATTGAAGCCAAATACTTTAGTGGATCAGCCTGTAATCCTGAACACTGGAAATGTGTAAATCCTACAGAACTCATTGGAGCTTACTTCTAAGTAAACTTGCTTAGGACTGTAATGCACAGCTTGTGCCTAAAAGATAATAATGAAGCCACAGCCACATATATTTGAAAAATAGGGATGGTAGTGTTAAGAGTTCGCACACAAAATGTGGAATGGTACTGTGAACTTGCACACCAGCTGTCATTCTGATGTCTCAGTGTTTGCTCAATGAAGATTCTCCAATCCAATCCAAATATCTTTATTGCGCTAGTCATTGGCCACGGCAAATCTGAATCAAAACTAAATGCAAGCAAAAGGGATGAAGATTATACAGACATGATCAAATGCACAATTGTTTTCTCCACTTAAAACAAACCAGCCCGAGAAAAGGTAAAGTGTTGCAAGAGGTAATATCCTTCTTTGAAAAAGTTTGATTGAAAACCACTTAAAACTTCTAATTAATAAGTTCTGTTCCCCACTTGAATTAATAAAAACCAAAAACATAATAATAATAATGGACAGCTATTTGCCTCTTTGTGTTTTTATAGATGTGAAATATTTCATTAATTTTTTCATCAAAAGAATAGTTTATCTGCATTTTTTTTGCATTATTAATGTTATGCTACAATAACACTTTTAATGCAGTTTCATTATTTCTACTTCAATGAAAGACAGACGGGAGGAAAAGTGTGTGTGCTGCTTGCTTCTGGGTTTCCGCAAGCTTGAAAGCAATCAATCCTCTTCAAATTAAAGAACGGGGGGAAATGTTAACACTTCCATACACTTTTCACAAATCAGATTCCCTTTTCAGTTTCTGCAGACTGATTTCTTCATAGAGCTGATGCCTGAACCTCAACATGTCTTCTACATCTTTATGGCGAAGCATTTCCTCAATAGACAAGAGCTTAAAACCATTCAATTTAAAAGGCAACATGTTCTGCGCAGAGTTTAGAATCCCTAAAGACACTTTCAGTGAATCGCTTAAAGTGGAGCAAATAGGGAAAAGCCGAGCTGTCCATAAACCTCGACAGGTCTCATCACCAGAAAAGAGCTCGTCCGAAATTCTCAGGCCCCAGAGCTCCAAGCACTGTCCAAGACTGATTCCCAAAAAATTGATTAAGTGAGTATCTGCCAAATCTGTCACTTTCTTTTTCAAGTTGTCTTCTATACCAAATGCCATGCTCACATACATTACTTCTCCATCAATCCTCACGCTTAGTGTAGCTATGAAAGTGTTTGGAGGTATGTCTGCTTTTGTGTCAATATAACAGCCGCTGATGATGCTGTTTGCTCCCACTGAAACCTCTGGTCCCAGCCAAGAATATTCAACTACTGAGCCAGGTGCAACAGAACACCTTGGACCGAGTATACTGTGAATGATACATGCCGATTTCCCAGTGTCCTCCACGCTGTTTGGACAGATGCTGAAAACATTTGGCATCAACCCCATTTCTGATTTCAACTTCCTATCAGACGTGAAATGAAACAAATATTCGCAAGTTGTCCCAATGTGATAGAATTTGGAGTTATTTAAGAGTACAACATTGAGTGGCAATCCTTTTAGAAGCCCAAATATTTTCTCCCTTATTTCCACTAGGCCCGACTCTTCTTTTGTCACGTTTTCTATGTTTTTTGCATAATTTGGTGTTGCTCCGGGCCCTAATGCCTGGAGAAAGTCACCATAGGCATCTATTTCACAGCACAACACGCCCACCTGTTTATAAAAGGCCAGAAGTAGTTTTGCAGTGGTGTGATCAATGTAAAATAAACTATCTGTGTACACGCACTCAGAAATGACATTGGAGTTTCCCTGTCCTCCAGGAGATGATGCCGGACAATGACCTCTTTCACACACTGCTCCAGACTGACGCATCCTTGCAATGCTAGGCTTATGCAGGAAACGGTGGCAAGATCTGTATTCGAGCTGTCCCTTTTCTGTCAAAAGTGATGCTGGCTCCAACACAAACACACCATGAGTCGTACCAATGGTCAAACTGGAAGGATGGGCTAATGCAGTAAACCCGGGCTGATCAAACCTTATGAATTCTGTTGCTCCAGTACTATAAAGTTCAATATCATCGGCACAAGTAATCAGGATGCCTGGATTCATGTGGAGGGGGAAATCAATGTACATAGCCAATTTTAAATCCAGCATTTGATAAACCGGGTCCCCAAAAGGCAAAGCTGTGAAGATTTTCCCCAGAGCGCTCGCATTTGGTAAACGTTGACTGTAGCCACCTTAAAAAATAAATAAATAAAAGAGTAACTTTTACAATATGCACGCAGGTGTTCATGCAGATATACAGAATTTAAAGGATTTCATAAGTTATATAATATTCTATCTAACATTTTTGTGTGACTGATGATGTAGTCCTGTGAAAACTTTTAAGAAAAACACTGGGGCCTAATTTGAATAGTAGAGTGCTGGGTATCTGGTGGGCAGGGCTTGTGTGTTTTGCTCTGGAATCAGCCCCTCCCTTCAGTGGATGCTCCGTTATGTTCAGTTAAGAATGTCAGTTAAGAGGGACCAACAGCCTCTTCTTGCAGAATGTACTAAACTGTGTAAGGGGATATTCCCAGTTTGCCAGGAGGACTGATTTTGTTAATCATACCCACCTCCACAACAAAAACACCATCGCTTGTTAAGAACAACCATTACAGAATTCATTAAATCTGAAGCAGAAAACCATGCAATGCAGGGGGAATTTATTTATTTAGATATATAATTTTATATTCCCCCAAGGGCTCAGACCAGGTTACAACATTTACAAAACATGTTTTATTAAACAGGGAAATGAAAGCTGAAATTGCTATTTAAATTATGACTGACACATTCACCTTATACTGTATGAAAGCAACTTGCTCCCCAATCTTAGAAGTGATGTATGAACTGGATCAGGCTTCCTTAACCTTGGGCCTCCAGATGTTTTTGGCCTACAACTCCCATGATCCCTAGCTAGCAGGACAAAGTGGTCAGGGATGATGGGAATTGTAGTCTCAAAACATCTGGAGGGCCGAGGTTGAGGAAGCCTGAACTAGACTTTTCTTTTCTCAAAAATGGGGAGTAGCCATTGCTTCTTTACAGCAGACTCTTATATGTGCAACCTTGTATCTATAGCAACCAGGAGGGCCTTCTTTAGCCTGCAATCTCCATCTTTGGACAGGGTCTACAAGCTGACCTAATGACTACAACATTCAGCCTAATTTTCGTACACTGCCCCAGACTATTTTTTGCAGAACATTTTGCCTGATGAAGAATTCTGGAGAACTTTAAAGCTTGCCACTTTTAAAATAAGGACTTCCACAAACATTGACTTAATTCTGATTGGTTGGCTAAAACAAACTAAAACAAAAGCCACCATTTGGCTTCACACAACACAAACCATATAGTGGTGTGTTTGTGCTGTGTGCTAGATCCATTGAGGTGGCAAAGCTGCATGGAGGGCAGGAGGCTCATTCACAATCAACCCATGGTTGAAAACAAGTTATAGTATGACATCCAAACTAACAGTATATTGAGAAAATAATTGTCGATGTGCATGTTTCTCTGTATGCCCAGATAGAAGATAATCACATAACCAAGTGTATACTATTAAGCACACAACCCATAACATGTTAATGGACAGTCTAGCAATGTGGTTATTACTTTCTGGTGCACTGAAAACTCACCACACCCAGGATTGCACCTGATTTCTGAATCCAGTGCTATGTACCATAAGGAAGTTACACCCTGCCCTCTCCAACTTTAGGGTGATAGGGAGTGAGATTTTATTGGATGCTGGCATTGGCTGTTCTATATTCCTTCTCTTCTCCTGCGTAAGGTATTTGCAGCGGATGATGATTCAGATGATTTGACCTAAATAAGCCAATCCAATTTGAGTTTAATTTTGTAGTGGGGAAAGCCCTATTCATCTTCACTGCTATCTTTTCTTCAAGGAAGAAAAACACCCTACATAATGCAAGAGAAGTGTAATTTAAAGGAACAGATTACCAGAATGAATTAATATGACGGTAAAAGAATCCCATTTATCACCATAACGTTCTTCTAAGCACTGAAGGACATGAAGCGTTGATCCACCGTTTCCTACAAAACATTTCAACACATACTTCAATTTAGAAATAACAAGAAGAGGCAATCAATATGCCTTGAGTATTCAGTTCGCTCACTTCTAGTATGAGATCACTTAACTGGGCTCACATAATAGGATGGAGAGAAATATCTTTCTTTTGAAATTTATGTCAGTTCAAATCCCCTTAAAGCTCACTGGGTGATGTTGGACCAGTTCACCATCTCTCTGTCTAACTTACCTCACAGAGTTACAGTAAAGACAAAATAAGAATTCCCATGAACTGTCCTGAGCAATTTGATGAAAGGGTGGGATACAATATATGTGATAAAATGAATATGTTTACATATAAAGAAGCAAACAACAGGTTTCTGCTTCAAGACTGCTTTCGCTAATACACAATTAGTCTATTTTTATTTCTACTTCACTGACATAAATGCAACACATTTATGTTGATTTGTTTTTTACTTCATAGTGATTTGGGTAATGAAAATTTTATATTGAAAATTTACCTCAAAGTTGTCAAGCATAGGACAAACTGGATAGAATATTTAACTTCACAGATCGGTTTCAGAATCAGTCTGAAGGTACACCTGATGCAGTAATATTTATCCAAGACTAAAATGATCATTAACATACCTCTCAAACAGACATGGCTTTTATATTATGACTGAAATCTGGACTCCCAGCAAGCCTGGGCTCTCTACCCTTCTAGAGTTAGCCATAGTGAAACCTTGGCTGGCTGCAAAGTGACTCAGTGGACTGTGACCTCTCTCTGTTAACTCTAAAATTAGACTTGGTTGAACAGTATAAAGCATATATAAGACACTTTGGCTAATACAGGAGAAAAGCCTGCTGTCAATAGAATATTTAGTCCAGCACCTTGTTCTCGCGGTAGCCAAAGAAATGCGTATGAGAAGCCTGCAAGCAGGACTTTACCACAAGAGCACTGTCTCCTCCTTAAGTTCCTAGCAACAGGTATTGAGAACCATACTGCCTCTGACCCAGAGTAAGATAGATGTGGGTTCTTATTTCCTAAGGTGGAATTAAATGCAACACTGATTGCTAGCTGGGTTGCTAGCTGGGTTGCTAGCTAAGTACTCCAACCCTTTGTCCAGTTTCTACCTGTAGAAATAGCCTTGGCGTCTTAGACACCATAATATACAGATGATAATACCTAAACTAGGATAGACCTTAATGAATCTATTCAACTGTCATGTCGTCCAAAAGAACATCCGTCTCATTAATACAGATGGGAGTTGCACACTTGAATCAAAAGAAGCTTAATAATAGTATTTGAACATATTTTTGGAGGTTTAATTAATATAATTCAGCTTCTAATGGCATTCTGGAAATCTTTCAGTGAAAGAGATACAGCTGTCATAATATGCACCCGAAGGAGAACCTTTTTATCTGTCTGAAAATTAATCAAATTATGCTGAATATTTAAACCACAAACTGGCTCGGTTTCTGCTCACCAGATGACTGGAAAGTTAGCCTTCCAAACTTGAGGCACGAGCCTGCCAAAGTTAAGCAAAATATACTGTTGAGCCACGCTGGGCTCTTATGGCAGTGAGGGCAAGGTACAAGATCAAATTATTGTTATTAAACTTAAGCAAGGTTATGTCCTATGAGTTTTAATGGAAGAAAATGATAGTGCTTATTTTAGCTAGGGTTATGCTTTTAACTTTGCTACAAAGAACTTATCTGTCATATTGTCACATTCCCAGGAAATGCGATCAGAACCCACCAATTTTTGGTCCAGGAGGATCCACAAAAACATGGTATTGAACACCAAGAGGGAGTTCCTTTCTTTTCAGCTTTTGGGATAATTGTTGCTGGTAAGCTATTTCTTGTTTCTTGTCAACTGCTGTTATTACAACAATATCCCAAAATGTTCCAGTCTCCACTGTTTTACCTGTTTAAAAATAAGAACATTTTATTACAGGAGATACAATTGCCAAGAGCGCTGAAGCGCTTTAAAACAATCCTCTCCCTAATAGACTCTGAGGCTTGGCTCCCATTCCTTACCTTTCTAGCTAAACCAGGGATGGAGAATCTCACACCTGCCGGGGTGCGCACACAAATGTGTCCCCCCCCCCCGGCTTCTTTACCTGGCTCTTGAGACTCACTCCAGGTCCTAATAAAGCTATTGGGCAGCAGTTACCTAAGGGTTTCTTCTTGCGCAACGGGCTTTCCCGCCTCTTCTCCTAACACCACCCACAGAAATTGGCTCAGAGGAATTGGAATAGCCCCAGAACAAGTGGGAGTGGGGGGCATTATCTGACTGTGGATTTTGAAGGTTTGCGAACCAACATGGCTTCATCTGTAATCTGGATAGCTCAGTTGCTTAGTGTGGTGCTGAGACTGCAGGTTCAGTCCCCATATGGGATGACTACATATTCCTGCATTGCAGGGGGGCTGGACTAGATGATCCTCAGGGTCCCTTCCAACTCTTCAATTCTATGATCTATGCTTTTTGGTACTGCAAGTCAGTGACTCTGCATACAGAATCAGGTGATATTACAATGCCCAGGACAAGAGCGGCTCTTTTGTTACAATGCTCTGTGAAAGTACAGTATGTGGTTTAGTTGGAGTAGTTATTACTTTGTGCATTAAATTGGGTGTGGCAGGGAGGAAAAATATTTTATTTTTATTTTTAAATGTCTGCACAGATCTGATAACTACAGTTGCTGAAGTTCATTCTGAGTGAGTGATTAAAATCAACCATTCACTAAATTAGTTTTGGAAAACAATAACATATCAGGGATTTGTGAAGAGAAATTTGAAGAAGGGGAATGGGGGCAGTTGCCTACCTAACAGCATCTATTGATATAAGAGAAAAGGAGGAAACCTAAACACCAGGCTCAATTTTATGTTTGCTTAACAACCTAAAGGGCCCCCTTCCACTACTATTCCCAAAGGCAAGGAAACCTAGAGTCACTTAAAATTCTGACACACTTCATCCTTTGTCTTCCCTGGTCTTTCCAAGAATTAGAAAGAGCCCTGGTGACTCAAAGGACTAGGTATAGCTCCTTGCCTGAGGGAAAGAGCTAGTTTGTCCTCTCCTAGCTATTTTTGTTTTGTTTTGTTTTTTTGTTTTAAAAACAACTTGGTATTTATCAGGGGACAAGCAAGGAGAATTTGTGGTTTGAGTGTTGACTCCTCCCTTGTGCTGTAAATGCCAGAAGATTAAAAACAAAGAATAAGCACATGCGGCAGCTAAGATACAGGACTGCTTCTCTCTGGCAAGGAACTATTTCTATTCCTTTGATGACCAACCTGTCGAAAACAGCACCCCATCAAATCTGGTACTTCCCTTCAGATTACTGCTATTTAGTAATCCCTATCTGAGCTTTCTAGCTAGTTCAATTATTGCACCTATACCACACACTTTCTTTCGGAAGCTCAAAACAATTTTCATGGGTTCCCTAGTCTCTCTCCAACCACTGGCCATACGTTGACGTGCTTGCTTTGCCAAAATTAAAGCATCACATTCCTGCATAGTCTCTGCAGATTGATGCACTTACTCAACACAATGTTATAGGAAAATACTGTCAGAAAAACCATTTTCACTTATGAGGCATCAAAGTAGAGAGAGCTATGGTGTGTGGCTCAGATAAAACAGTTTGTAGAATTATTGTCAAAATATGTCCCCATTAAGACATGGATGAGAACATACTCCAATGTCATCCCTGCCTCACACTGCTAAATAGAAAGAAAATCCTGGAGACCTCAATTATCAAGTCACTGTACCTCTCACTAATCGGCTGTGCTCTGTCTCACTGGGAAAGGAATAAGGCATTACCTCTGCCATTCCACATTCCTCTGTAGCATGGCACGCTACTAGAGTGACACAACTAGGCAGCAATCCTATGCACATTTATCCCAGGAGTAAGCTCATGGAACGAGCTAGGACTTCTGTATAAACATGCATTCCATTGTGCCGCAAAAAACTGCATGCACAAAATACATATTTTGGTAAGAGGATTTTGTGTGCAAGGTATTTTTATTTTTATTTTTTAAAGAACTGAAGCCTTGTTTTGGAGAATGAAACAACTGCAGTCTCAATCGGGTGAGTGTCAGGCGGAAGAGATGGGTAACAAGCTGTCTGCCTTTAAAGCGAGATGGCAGATATCAAAACCATCCACGTTCTCACTTTTATAGTTTCTCCTGTAACGGGATCACCTAACTTCCGGTATCAATGGGTCTCTTTTTGCCAGGCTGGCAGGGTCTGCAATGGGAGAGACTGAGCAGGTTCTACGGGTGTGCCAGCTTTGAAGCAAGAGCTGCAGGACATTATATTCCTGCGCAAGTTTCAGTCTGGCCTGGGTGGAAAAAGCAACAACACACATCCCCTCTGAGTCCCGGACCCTTTCCTCAGAATGGGGACCTGGGTGCGGAGCGCATTTTCTGCCAATGAAAAGGCAGGGGGTTCCAGCCGAGCATGCTCCATCGCATTTGGACCTGCCCAGCAGCACCGTTACACATGCAGACCAGAGAGCGGCCCAGCCCTGGCCCTCCCGGCTGGGCCAGTCCTTCCTTTGCACGCTGGGGATACCGCGGGAGGGGAGGCCTTCGCGGGGAGCTCGCCAAGGTCTGCGCCCTGAGCGCCTCCGGGGCGCAGTGAGTCCCCCAACCCAGCCCTTCCACCTCTCAGCTGCGCGAACTTCTCCAGCCTCTCCCGAGTGGCTGCTTGCAGCAAAACTTCCGCCTCTCCTGCAGCCTGCATCGCAGCAGCGCCTTCCTCTCCGTCTCGCTGCTTCCGGGCTTGGGCAGCAGACCCGCCTCCTGCTCGACTGGGCTGGCCTCGCCAAAGCAGCCCGTTGCTTCGGCGACCAGGAGGCGCGCACATCCCCGCCAAGGCTGGCCAGCGGGATGCGCGCGGTGCCCTTGCCCCGCGCTGCCAGCTGGAGGAGGCAGGCAGGCAGGGGAGAGGACGGGAAGGAGCCAGGCGGGAAGGGGAGAGGCAGGAAGTGGGATCGGTGGGTGCGCCTTTCATTCTGCCTGCAAGAGGGCAGAGGCAGGCGAGAGGGAAAAACCAGCCGAGCCGCCCCACCAGAACTTGGGAGCTGCGCAGAGCCCCTTCTCTCTTTGCTGACACGCACTATGTCTCTCTTACACACCGACACTCAGGTATTCATGGGTTTCTTTTCTTGAGTAATGGGCTGTGTTTTTGAAGTTGCGAACAAACTAACAAGGCGACTCTTTCCTCCTCCTCCTCCTCTCTCTCTCTCTCTGTTTCCTGCCTCGCTTTATATCCTGGAAAGACACACACACACACACACACACACACACACACACACGGTTGCCTCGAATGCTAGTCCTACTCAGAGTAGACTCATTGAAATGAATTAGAAATCCAAACATTAATTAATTAAATGCTTTGATATGTGCTGGAAGACAACCAGAGTCAACCTGCGAAAACCCAGCCAGATGGGTGGGGTATAAATAATACTTATTTATTATTAAGTATTACACTTAAGCTGGAATAACTAGCTGCACCAATATAAGATGGGGGACACTTGGTTCACCAGCAGTTTATGTTAACAGGATCTAGGAGTCTTAGTAGACCACAATATGAGTCAACAATGTGATGCTGCAGCAAAAGAAGCTAATGCTATTCTAGGCTGCATCAACAGAAGTCTAGTCTCTAGATCAAGTACCACTCTACATCATCATCATCATTATTATTATTATTATTATTATTATTATTATTATTATTGGCTGTTTCACCCAATCGGTCATTATTTTACTACCAGCTTTGGTTGGACCTTGTGGTTCTATGTTTTTAGTTTAAATAAACCCCAAACACTCCTCAAATAAATACCACAATCTGTCCCCCCCTGACCTACGGAACACAACTTCTCTCTCTTTCCGGGCTGTGCAGTATAGAGGGTCGGTCGTGGAAGAAGCTGCCACCTCATCCACCCTTGCCCACCTGCTTTTTCTCCCTCTGGAACAGGGATTGGCATGCACATAGTCCTAATATTAATGCATGCGACAGGTAAGAAGAACAAATCCACGAAGGAATTGGGGATATCTTTTGCAGGCAAAGAGCATGCCCTGCCAGTGAGATAACAGCCCTTCCCAGTGATCTCAAGAGAAGAGAGGGTGGCCTGGAATGCTGGGAGAAGGTGACAGTTGGGTGCTGAAGGGAGAAGCAGGCAGGTGGGAAGAAGAAGCCAAGCGAGAGGCTTGGTCTGAGGAACAGGGCAGGACAGCACATCTGGAACCCCATACGGGCTTGGTACAGGTGTAATACAGCGCGATGGTTTGATGCAAGTTGGTGTCATAGTCTGCCGTTACATCCAAGCTAGGTGTGGAAATCGCATTTCAGATTCATTACCGTTCTGGTCTGTAGCCGAGTGCAACCCATAGTCTGCTAGTTCTGATGTAACAACGAACTATGGTTTGCATGGAAGTTGAAGTAGCTAATTGGCCAGATGGAGAAAAGAGATTCTGGAATGCTTTCAGTGGGGAGATTCTCCCGGCACATATTTTGATGTCATTTTGGTGCCAGGCAAATACTTCTTTATTTTACTTTATCACGCCTCTTAATTTGATTTGATCTGTTGGCTGGTGTATTTTATGTTTAGGGTATGTTTTTAGTTTGTAATGTTGTGTTTTCAAATTTTGTAAGCTGGCCTGGGAATGGAATAAAAAAAGTGTGAGGTGCGGATTTGTTTGCTAAATAAATAAAACTGAGAGGGAGAAGAATAGGAAAGTACATGATCATGAGGCTTGCAGTGCCCAAGCCTGGCTTGATGTTGTACATGATCCAGATCAATACTTTTCTTTATCCAAATTTCCAAAAGATGGTTCCTTATGCTAAGAACTGTACTTGTGTGCGACTGTGCACATGATCGCTGCAATGTCACATCTTCTTACCTCCCTTCCATGGATATTGCCCTCTGGCAAGAGAGACCCACAGGACACTCAGAAAGGCTCTCACTCATCCACTAGCTTGACTAAGAAAAGAAAGAGGTGGCATTCTCCTGGCGCTTCTTCCTCAAACCCTTTGTGCTTTTGAGATCACAGAAGGTAGATGTGGGATTCCCCCCCCCCCGCCATTACAGGAATAGAAACGGAAGAAAAAAACATGCCCTGAAAAGCTTCCTGAAGGGGAAAAGCAGTGAGCATTTCCACAGTTTCTTATGCACATTCTTGCGCATGTCTCTTCCCCAAGCCCTCTGCTTATCAAAGGTGGGGATGAAGTTAGTACCAAGAGGGACAGAGACTTGGCTAGGAAGCCAAGCTGATATTTGTAGACTCTTGCAATTGCTTCTTGCAATTTTCTTATGCAGTTTTCAGCACATTCACCTCTTTACCCTGGGCTTTGACACTCGAGATATATGTTTTAGGACCTACCCTATTCTGTAATTTGTTTTAATTGATTTTAATGTTGTATTTTAAAAAAATATTGTAACATGCCCTGGTGAAGGGTAGAAAATAATTCTAACTAATAATGACAATATTACTAGTAATAATATTCTACTTTTAACAGCGACAACACCCCTCCCTCCCCAAAAGCCAGGAATCGCAACTTGCCGCCATGTGTGTGTGTGAAGTTCTGTTCTGTGACAGTGAAATAGTGATTCCATAGGTGAGGGGTAGCAGTAGCTAAGGGAGATGGTTTTATTATTATTTTCTTGCACCTCTGAAATGCATAGTTTGCTTATTTAAAGACTTATACTCTTGCTTTAAACAATCATTATGCAACACAATGGCAAACGAGATTATACTTGTCTTAGCGATGGGGTAACAAAGAGAAAACATGATGCTGAACGCAGGAGAAATAGCCCCCTCTGGGAGGTATGGAACTTCTCATACAGGCCACACAGAATATGGCTCTTGGTGATGAGGGAAGCCCTGATGGACTGGAAAAACTAATGGTTCAGTGGCAAGTCTGTAAAGGAAGAAGTGGTTTAAATCTAGAATTTAAAGGTCCGCAGGAGTCATCTCTATCGCTACTGATAAATCATCACATTTACTTGCACGCTCCTTTTCCAAATAATTTCAAAGCAGCTCACAAAAACAGTCAACAAATCAAAACAAACACAGTCATAAATATATAAACTACATTCCATAAACACAGTATTTCACATCCACATTTGCAAGTCAACAAAAACATCCATATTAAGATTTCCCTGAACTTTGAAATGCATTCTAGGCCCCTTCAGCAGCAGGAGCAGCCTATGTCTTCAGGAGCTATGCCGTCCCAGGCTGAGTGGAAATGGGTCAGGCAGAAAACAGGGACCAGGTCTTTTCAGGGTTCACAGTGGTGAAGAAGGCCACTCATTGTAAACAGCAACAATGTTGAGTTGCCTGGAGGCGACTGCTTCCTCTGTCCATCTAGGAATAGTGACAGGTGGCTTTAAAAGAGCACTAAACAAATTCATAGAGGGTAAGGCTTTCAACAGCTACTAGCCATGATGGCTATGTTCTGCCTTCCCTGTTGAAAGCAGTGTGCTTCTGAATACCCCTTGCTGGAAACCACAAGAGGGGACAGGCTTCTCATAGGCATTTAGGTCGCCACTGAGGGTTAAGTTGTGGGTGAACATATCAGACGACACAGTGATTCTTCAAACAGCTCTTGTTTATTCACAGGCCAGAACAGAACGACTGAGGGTTCAGTCAGCCTGCTTATATAGAGCTCCAGTACAACGTAACTGTAACAATTTTCTAAAACTATCCAATCACTGAATGTCACTTTTGATCCCTTATTTGCATAACTATCTACAGTATCCCCCTGCTGTCCCAGGGTGAGAACTTCAGTACATAACACCGAGAGAACAAGATGCTGTACTAAATGGACCACAGGCCTGATCTAGCAGGTTCTTCTTAGGTTGGCTCTTGAAAACGCTTTTTAAACCATTTCTTCCTTTACAGATTTGCCATTGTTCTGTTGGTTGACTCCTTTCTATCAAATCGGCTCTGTTATATTCTTTCTTTCTTTTTTTAAAAATGACCAAAGGAAAAATGAGCCACGAGCCACGTTCTGCCTGGCTTGCTTGATCTGCTAAACTGGCTTACGTATATATTTTCATGTCTCCACAAGCATTTTCAGTACTAAGTGCTATGCGAGCATATGAGTTCATTTTATTTCATGCAAGTGGAATGTCCTTGCAGGGATGCGTTGGCAGTCTTGATATTCGCCGAGATCTTCTTGATGTATAAATGTGTGTGGAGATCTCTTTCTATATCATTGCTCGTTTTATAATGTTGTGGCTCCTGTCAGATACTTTTCCTCTATTCTTTCTTTTTAATTTTAAGAGTTGGATCAAATCTAGTCTTCGGTGGATTATAAAAGTACAAAGTGCAAATGAAAGGAAATGAAGCAGTCGTGCCCTCTGATATGGTCTCACCATGCACAAATCCTGCAATAAAAGAAGTCTTAAAAATAAGGCAGAAGCCTCTGTATGAAATCACACAAAAAGTACATGAAACCCTGGTTTTGGTCCTAACAAAAAGACTACTTTATCCATCCCTTAAAATAAGGGCAGAAATTAAAGGTGCTGATGGTCTCCTTACTTTAAAAATAAAAGTAATATATTTCTGAAATTTCTTCACTAATCCAGTAAATATTAATTTGACATCTCTTTAAACCATGACAAAGCAGACTTATATGAGGTGCGTCTCTAAAAATTAATTTAAAATATAGCCTCATTTAATTTATCTCTTGCTCAGTTAAGGCTGAAGAAATCATAAATTAGTTTTCTGGCAGATCTCCAGTGACCTCAGTGGAATTTTGCCGGCACAAATATAGGTTGGATTATGGGGTAAAGGTATCTGTTTTTCATTCCTTAGCCAGTTCAGTCATGGTGCTCATTGTACAAGACAGTTTTTTAAAAGTATTTTTTTATTACTATTTTCAACATACATACTAAAAGCAGCTAAATTTCAATCTATAGTGTAGCTTATTTTCCCCAGCTTTCCCCAGATCAGGGATTTGAACAACTCCAATCCCAGTAGAAAATTCAGGCTGCCTTCTACTGAACTTGCGGTTCTGTTACATACTCATTTACCTTTTAATGCATGTTGGGAGTATTCTATGAAGGAAACGGAATAGCCATCTTGAGCTTTAAGAAGCTGCTAGTTCAGTGTAGATATTGCAGGTTTTCTAGCATTGGCCAAAGTTATGCTGCAGGAAATGGCTGATATCCCTGAGTAGCAGCCGAGTTGGAGGAAGGACGTACTTTTAGAGTCAGGTGATGGGGAGCAGCATTGAAGACAAGGGGACATGTCATGTTGATCAAGCAGTTTTCACTGATAAGCCACATCATAAGCAAATCACATTAGTAGTGCATACCTGTATGTTGCCTCCAATTCCACTTTACTCTTTCTTTCTCCATATATGTTTATGTATGTGTACATCTCTGTATGTGTGTGTGCATGTATACACACACACACACACACACACACACTTATCCTATACTTGGAGATTCAGTTAAACATCATAGCAATAAATGATATATGTTTAAATGACACTTTCATTGAGCAAACAAAAGATCTTGTTGATGACTAGCCCCTAATTGTTTTTTCTGAATATAAAGGTCTTACACTGTTTCTAGAAAACACTTTGACCTAGAGTACAATTCATTGTGTTTGCCTGTATGCTTTCCAGCTTATAGGTACACTGTTTTTGTTTTCATTACATTATCCATTTTTATTGACACAGTTCCTTAGTGTTTTCTGTTATTGTGATAACATGGAAAAAACAGCAGAATTTTGCACTTGCTTACATGTTTTCAAATAGTCTGTTAGATTTCTTTCTTCCCTCCTGCCTTCCCTGTCGCTGCTAGTTCTTTAATAGAGCAGGGGGTGTTGTCACAACCAGCTGGATATTTCCTTAGGGTACTTGAAGTTTTTCTTTTGAAAGTTGAATAAATGTAACCTACTGTGTAATCTCCCCCCCCCCCCCTTAGATATCTCATGGATAAACTGTAAAAGAGATCAACAACCATGGAGGAGGAATTTGCAAAATACCTTGTCTCTGCTTCTGAAAATCTGCTACTCCAATATGGGCAAACTGCCGATCAAAAAGATGCAAAGAAGCTGCGAAATCTCGTTATGGTCAGGATACGCACTCAGTATTTATACAATCTAAAAGAGATGCAGTACTGCGTTTCACTTAAAATATGTGATTTGTCTGGAAATTTCATTGTGAATATTGATGCACTTGAGTCTTGCACTAGTTTAATTAAACTGGATCTTCATAACAACCAGGTGAGCAAATTTTTAAAAATTAACATACAAAGTATGGTTTGGGGAAGCTAGCCAGTTTTTGTATTTGTTCCTGTAGGTTCTTGATGCAGGCTTAATTTATGCTGCAAGAGCTTCCACCGTTTACTATTTTTGATTCTAACAATAGAGAGTGTTTGTTTGTCTGTCTGTGAGAGGTGGGGCTGGAGAGAGAGCTAGACCCAGCGTCCTCTGTTTCTTCCGGTCGTTATTGCAATAGAAATGTGGCCTTTTCAACATTGCCAAAATTGTCTTTTTCACGATACCTAATGTATGAAATTAGCTGTCGGAAGAACTATAAGTTGTATTCTGAAATATTGATATTAAGAGCCCAAAATGATGTCAGCATTTTCATGATGGTGGGAGTTGGGTGGGAAAACTATTCCAGTTTCCGCTTTGAGTGTTTGCTTATTTTCCACAACATTCCCCCCCCCCGAAGGCTGGAATTTTACCTTTTACTTTTGAAGCACTCAGTTGAGATTCTCATGTTCACTTGCTCCAAAGGATACTGCGTTGCTCCCTCCTATTGAAGTGAATGGGGGAATCCCAGTCACACATCATAGCACGCATGCATCTCGGGACCAGGAGTGTTGTCTTTGATATATAAATAAAAATATGCAGATGATCATTGACTGGGCTTATTCTCTTCCTTGGCTGAGGAAGCAATTTTGGTTTGACAGGTTACTTACACTACATTTTCTACAATGTATTTACCTTTTTCTCCTTTCTTTCAAAATTGTGTTTCAATACTGTTTCAGATAGAAGAGCTTCCGGGCCCAATGTTTTGGGTAAACATGGCAGGACTGCAACTTCTGTATCTTCATAATAATAGCATTTCAGCACTGGAAGATGTGCATTCGTTATCTTTCTGCCCTAATCTGATCGCTCTCACCTTGTTCAACACTCCCCTGTGCCTGAAAATCGCATATAGGCATATTGTTGTTAACAGCATCTTTTCACTCAAGGCACTGGACTACTATGTTATTTCTGATGAGGAAATAATAGAAGACTGGAAGCTTCCTGAAAAATATAAACCCTTTACACCTAGCTTTTATATTGATTTTTGCCCTACTTCTGGAAAGGTAAGTTATCTAGTTGTTGTTTGTTTTAAGGCATGCCTTCATAGGAATAGTAAGCTTCAAGTATGTCATCATAATCTGTAGCCATTAGCTGAAATCCAGCAAGCACAATGGAGCATTCCAAGTTCTTTGCCTGCCAGGAACCCTGTGTGCAAGTATTCATTATTGTGGCAAATCATCATGGCTTGCACTTACAATTATTGTTCATCAGATAATCCTAAAAATAATGAATGTTTTCATAAATTTAAAGCATCTGAATTTTTATCTGTTTTGAATTAACAGAAACATTTAGAGATGGAAGAAACAATGGTTTCACAGGTGCTAGGACTAGAATTCATGTCTTTGTTTAGTTACACAATTTTGATTCTTTCCTTGGCTCAGTGAAATGTTCCAAATGTAAAAACATTGCCTTCCTTCATTGAAGCCAACGTTGAAAATATGCCTACAAAATGTGACTAGGCTGCATTTTTCTTTTTACTAGCCTGCTAAGATGCTAGTAGCATGTGCCTCAGTTCTGGCTTCAAAAGAGCCCCCTCTTTAACATCTGGCATGGAAATACATGAAGTTAGCTTTGTTTCAGACTAGCAAAAATCAAATGCCTTCTGCAAAACAGGCTGGCGGGGAAGGAACAGAGACAAGAGAATTGTCTTCCCTTCCTCTGTAGTCAGAATGGAAACAGATCCAACTGGTGGAGGAGGAATGATGCTCACTCACCTGTATGGAATTCCTAGTTGCCTGTGGATACCAGGCAAGTTGCTAAATGCAAGGCTGGCTGAAACCACTTAGTTTACAAAAGAAATATGCTTGGACTGATGCACTTTCAATGGTAAGATCTGCTTCTAGGACCCCTTTCTGGGTCCTTTGGTCCTCGTAAATCAGACCCGGTTCACATGGCACAGTAAGAGACCTGAGTGAGAGAACTGATAGAAATGGAAAATATTAAACTGGGGCCCAGAACAACATCCCTACAGGGGATTGGACTAGATCAGGCATCCCCAGACTCGGCCCTCCAGATGTTTTGGGACTACAACTCCCATCATCCCTAGCTAACAGGACCAGTGGTCAGGGATGATGGGAATTGTAGTCCCAAAACAGCTGGCGGGCCGAGTTTGGGGATGCCTGGACTAGATGACTCCAACTCCACAATTCTATGATTCTACTGTAACATTGAGAAGCTTTAGCTCTGACAGCACCTGTCACATGATTATACCTGCCCCCGGTCTGCTTTCCTGCTGGTGGGGGCAGCAATGTGATGCTTGTCCTCACTGGCTAACTACTAAATGTAAAGTGGGGGTGTGGAGAACTCTCCAGAAAGGATGAATGCTGTTTCTGTCCGATCCAATCATAGAGGGATTTATGATCTTTTGTGAGCTCAATTACCAAGCTTCAAATAAAGACAGTTCCTTATCAGGTATGAGATATAATATTTACTGGTGAAAACTAAGGGGGCAAGTGTTGGCCAGTATGCCTGATCCATAACATAAAATTAGAAAAGTGCATGATTTGTTTAATTTTTTTTGGGGGGGGGGGATACGTTTTAATGTATGTTTACAGAAAATCCTCATTATTTGTTGTTTGTAGGAAACTACATTTCAGGAAGAAATGGAAATGGTAAAAAAGATAATTTCCAAAATCAATTACATCCTATCTTTTCATTCGCCAGTCCTGATTATTCAGAAATGGATAAGAGGATATTTAATTAGAAAAGTATTGTGGTAAGTATATTTTTGCTTAGTTTTAATCAGGAGCTGTTTTCATGCAGGGCAGAGTAGCTAATTTAAGCTGACTTTTCAGCCATCTTACTGTACACAAATAAATATGTCTGCAATGCAACACAGCAGACATTACAAGCTTTCTCGAAATGGATGTTTGGGCGTAGTTATATGTTGGGACAGTTTAATTTTAAAAACGTTGTACATAGGGAAACTGTTCAGCAGATGGCTCATAACTAAAGGGGCAGAGTTGCTGCTTCCTTGATCTGTCAAGTGGTTTTTGAGTCATGCATTATTTCAGTAATTTGGGGAGCAAGTGTGTGCAATCGACTTCTCATTAAAAGACCCATGGCAAAGCATACACTAATTTAATAGTTTTTGGACTATTGCATCCAGTATATCTGAAGGTTATGCCATAAAAAAAATGCACTGCCACTCTGATTCTAAACATTTGCAGCAGTCTTCTTGCTACAACACAGAAGTAATGTCTTCTTGCTGGTGCACCAATATAGTTTGTGACATTGAGCTGGGAAAGCATTTGGTATATATGACAGCATTCTAACCCCTTTTTGTATTAATATATTTGGCTTCTGGTCTGAACACTGGACCTTTCATTGTATAAACTGATCTTTGTTTTGCGGACGGGAAAGACATATTGTACAGAGTTCTTGGCTGTAAGTGTGTGTAGGAATAAAAAATGAGTTTATATTTATACAGAGCTTCCTATGTGATGCTGAGCCTTGAGCATAGCAGGTACTCTGTTTTCTACAGAGGCCGAAGTTCCAATTATATCTTGTAAGTTCTTATAAATTCTGGCTCCTAGTTGTGATAGTCATACCGACTCTGGAGCTGGAATCCATGGAAACTCACAACGTAATTTTTAGTATTTTTTCAAGTCATTTTAATAATAAATAATAATAATAATAATAATAATAATAATAATAATAATAATAAAAAAACAACTTTTATTTGTATCTCGCCCTCCCCGGCCAAGACTGGGCTCAGGGCGGCTAACATCAAATATATAACATTGGTATAAAATCAAACAATAATTAAATTACCTCCTAAAAACAAGTCAGGAGCAAATTAAAATCTAATTAGATGGCTTTCCGCAGGATTAGGGTTGGGAACAGTAAATGCTCATCAGGCCCAACTATTTACGCTGTTCTTATACGGGACTGTGAGAAGTAGATATTCTAGAAACTTAAGTTTCTGTTCATTAGTTTCTATTTCATTAGTTTCTGTTTGGCCACTATATTATTTGGAACTGTGTGGATAGAAGCAGGCTATAGGTAATCTAAAACAGTTTGTGCCTTCTGTTAACTTTTAACTTTGTGGTGTTGCAAAAGCAGCAGAAACTCCTGACTCTTTATTCCCCTTGAATGAAAAAATATATATGTTATTGAACCTTAAATATTTGCACAGTAGTTGATAACTTAACACGCAGTCTTCCATAATAGCTTAAATGATGTCACTGAATGTTGTAAGAATATCGTACATTATTGCAAACGCTTGGATTGTGTGACAATTTTGGAATATGAAAAGCTTTTGAAAAAACATTTCTCCCATCATGGAGGGTTTATTTCATCTAATTATCACAAGCTTGTAGTGGTTCCCAGTTTTATAACCTCTAATTATTAAAAAAATACGCTGTCATTCAGATGTGTGCATGAAAGTGATATTCAATGTGAGGAAACATATATAGGACATTGCAAAACAGATTATAAACACATAGCAAGGCATCAAAGGCAAATAAATATAGAATTAATCAACAGTGGCAGTCTACAGCTAAAGCATAGATTAACATATGCACAGAAACAATTGATCATTTAGACAAATTTGTCAGAGCTGAATAGCTGCACTCTATAATATTCCAGAAATAAGTGTCACTGGCATTAACTTTTTTCCTTTTATGTAGTCTACACACAGAATTTTAAGGAACCTATTAGGTGTTGTAATATTGCAGTATGGAGCGCATTGCAGCTCCCCCCCCCCCCGCCCATCACAGGCTGTTCTGCAGGGTCCCCCAATACTTTGTAAAAGATTTTAGGGTCACAGGTAGAAGGAAGAATGGGCAAAATTTGCATCCCCTTCTCTTACATCAACTGATGCCTCCGCTGGGTCAACAGCTAGTGGAATAACAGCAATAGATTTCACTTTAAAATTTCACATTTTGAACATGTGTAAGCAGCAGCAATGCATACTGTAAAAGCTTATATAGTGGTACCTCGGCTTACGAACTTAATCCGTTCCAGAAGTCCATTCTTAAACCGAAGTTGTTCTTAAACCGAGGCGCGCTTTCTCTAATGAGGCCTCCCGCTGCCGGTGCCCTTCCACCATTCAGATTCCGTTCAGTAAAGTTCTCAAACTGGGACACTACTTCCGGTTTTGCGGAGTTTGTAAACCAAATCGTTCTTAAACAGGTCTGTTCTCAAACCGAGGTACCACTGTACTGCTAGTGTATAGTGACGGATAGGAAAAGTTAACACTCCACACTGCAAGTTTTTGTTACAGGTTGCATTTGTTCTTATTCTCAAATTTTGCTCCTTAATAACAGCTGGAAAACAATTGCCGCTTAGTTTTCCCTGTTGCTGTTGTAGACGTTGTGCCGACGCTGTGAACTAGCAGAGTTCTAGTGTTGGACCAATCAGGGCTACATTTTCTTTGAAATGAACACTTTTCACAGGGTGGCAAATTCTCTTGATTTCTAGGGAGACAAAGAATATTCTTTAAAATCTGTGATGGTTTGGACTGTAACTAACTTAACTGTTCAAGGTGGCTGAGGGATTTCTCCCCTCAAATATGACTGTGCTTAATCTCTTTATAACACACACACTACTGTGCACTTGCAATCTTTTCACATAATGTTTCAATCAAGGAATTTAAGAATTGATGCTACCTTATTAAATCCAATATTCAGCTTCTGTGAGCATAGTTGCCAAATTGCACAAACATGTTCAGGGAAGAGATGATCAAAATACTAGCATGACTGGAGCTGAGGTCACCTTTGTGCGTGTGCTTGCCATGACAAGACTTGGGTTCTTAATATGCTTGGTGTTCTCCATTGTATGTGCAAACACACACCCCAAACTTCTGCAGGAAGTGAAACTTTAAAAAGTATTATGCTACCTGGAGTGGCTGCAGCAGAAGTGCATTAGTATACATGATGGGGAACAATATGCATAGTAAAAGTTCACGGACTTTGTTGCTGTAAATGCACGTGCCTAAGTGATGTGAATGACTAACGGAGATATTTCAGATGTTAAAAGTTTTCTTTGGTCTTTTCAGTGTGATATCTGAAAGAAAGTATATTCTCCAGGGTATTCTGCATTCATGTCGTGGGTGCACTACACCCCACACCAGATGATGTTAAATTCATGCTTAGCATCATAATTTCTAAGATGAAAAGCACTGACTTGTGCCTTTGTATTATTTGTACACAGATGGTGTTCTGTGAAGCATTCAGCAAGCAAGCAAACCACATCTGTCAAAACACTCTCCATCAATTCCAGCATCTTGTGCTGAGTAGCAATTGAAAGGTTGTCAGTTTAGATCAATGATTCTCATACCACGTTGGGTTGACTGGTCATTTGTATGGACTGAAAAGCCCAACTAGCTCAGGAGCTGCAGGTAGCTCATTTGAGCAGTTCAGGAGCCGTTTCTTGGCTGATCGAGGAAGTGAATGATGAAGTCCACTGTAAGGCTATTCTGTAGGAGCAGTCTCTTGAATCTCCTTTCCTCCCACTTTCAGTCACATGCAAGGACTGACGCATGCTGGATCTCCTCCCCAGAGGAGGAGGGGAAAGTAATGGTAGGACTATGATAATCCCTTGGGGCCTTTAAACTGGCCTGTAGGAGGAAGTGAAGAAGCAGTGGTAGTTGTGGAAGAGGACTGATTGGTTGGAAGAGAAAAACAGTAGAGCAAAGAAATGCTGTGATGGGGACAAAGTGAAATATGTCCTATTGTGGGACAGCACTGTTTAGCACTGTAGCATCTCTGTAGTTCTAAAGTTTTGTTTGTTTTTCTTCTTTGGAGACTCAGAGCACACCTGAGGTCCATGTATTTGTGCTATCTATCTACATATCTTGTTGCTTAAAGCAACACTGAATATTGACAGCCATCTTTGTTTTGATACACACAACCATTTGGCATGAAAAGTGAAAGCTACTTTAAAGATAATCTTGTCAAGCTGTTACTCAGATGAAGAGTGACAGACTCTGCATCATTTTGGCAGACAGGTCAAGTTTTCTTTGGGGAAGTGACAATTTTCCTTTTTTTTTCAACTAATGAAAAGTCTACAAAATGCGTCTTCTCTGAGTCAAATGTATTTTGAAGAGAGAGTGCACCGAATATGAAACATAAAATGCATGCCTTTACATATTGGCACCATGGTATGCATCCACAGAAAACCTGTGTGCTGTTGAAAAGTTTAATAGAAATACAAACTTGAATGTCTTTCAACAGTGGGATGCTAGGAAGATTTCAATGGCTTTGCAGGCATATACACCAAAACAAGTGTTTTAAGATCCAAGTAATAATTTCTTATAAGCTGGATCTTTTTGGCACATATGATAGTGGAATACTTATATAAACTCTACTAATTTGTGAAAACTAGCTTTTCAGGAATAGCAGTAGTTGCATTTGAGTCCATTGGAGCTTGGCTGCAGAGGACTCGTTAGAAGATGTATAGCTGTTAGATTATTATGACCCTGTCAGGGGTCTATTCTAAGTAAAAGTTGCTGATACTACTCGCTAGCCCTTGGGCTAAGGTTAAATAAATAAGTGATGGGAAAGGACATTTGAAAATTGACTCTCAGTACACTGTGATATCCATCAGAATAAGTTCAGGCATCATCTCAAGTTACTCAATTCTATATCAACTAGCTAAGAATGAAGTTGAGAGCTATAATAAATAACAATACATAGTATTTAGAGTGTCCAAAACACTTCACACACTTTTCAGCAGCCCTGTAAATTGTTGTCCATATATTATTTTTCCCATATTGAAGGCTGGAGGAGAAGTGAATCTCAAAGGTTTGAACATTGATTTAACTGGCTAACATAAAAATGTAGAGTTTGGATTTGACGCAGGACTTATAAAAGTCATTTGCAAAAGAACTTGCATGTGTACTTGCTTTTTCAGAATTTTATGCACAAGCTTCTTAGTATTCTAGAAAGAAAATGCTAAGAAGGGGCTACAAAGACTTAATAATTTTTCAGGAAGAGATTAAGTCTTCTTAATGCCTAAACACATCATGGCATAGTTGCATTCTGCTAATAGATGTTCAGAGCATACACCTTACATATTTCTCCTTCATGCTTATGCATTTTACAGGTTATTAGTAGCCTCTAGTATATAATACTAAAAAATGTCAGTGCCTCTCCAATGTCTTCAAAATAATTTCATTATTATGTTAATATGAAGCCCTCTGTGGATAATGTTTTGTCAATCTTTTTAAAAAGGGACTGTATTATAAAAATTATATGCTTAACTCTTTCTAGTTGGTAAGTAATTACCATGACCAGCTCCATGAACTTTGAAGATCACTTTCAAATTGTTTTCCCTAAGATTTACCCCCATTTTTGTTTTAAAACCATGGAGTTGGAAGGGACCATAAGGGTCTTCTAGTCCAACCCCATGCAATGCAGAAATCTTTTGCCCAACACGGGGCTTAAACCCATGAACTTGAGTTAGGGTTGCCATTTGTCCAGAATTTCCCAGACATAGAGGAGATTCAGTTGTCGGAAATAGTGTCCGGGCAGAAATCACTGAAATGTCTGGGGGAAAAGCTCAACAACTTTGAGCAGAACTGAAAAAAGCTCAAGAACTTTGCCCCCCCCCCCAGGAACCCTATTTTAGTTTAAGAGTCTCATGCTCCACCGATTGAGCTACCCCACAGGCACCAAGACTTCATAAGTTTCTGAGTCACTCTGTAGCCTTCTCTGTCCGGAAAATGCATGGCCATCTTTTCTCTCTCTGATAAAGTGAAACCAATCTGACTGGCAAAATGTCCAGCTTTGAGCTTGAGAGGCGATGTGTAGGGACCTTTCATTTTGATTGACATGCCCAGCATTAATCACAGCGAATTATTTTCCCAAGGTACTCCAATCACAGTTAGAACTGATGTTTTCATTGTCACATATAATATGGTTAGGAGAGAATAGCAGCATTTTTTAAATTCAGCCTGCAATTCAGTGCACACTTTCTTGAGAATAAGACACATTGAATTTAGTGAGACTGACTTTAGAGTAAACATGCAGAAGACTGCACTCTTATTCTCTCTGATCATAGTAAAATGTGCTTTGCTGAGATATGTTTGAAAATATACATCCCATTCCTTCTTTAAAACTGCATAGTGCAATCCATAGATCTTCAGGCATAATCATAATTGTAGTCTCCTCCTTCTTCATACCAGTAAATGCATGTTTCTAGAAGGTGACAGGCTCCATCTCCTTTCCTTTCACAAGCAAGTAGCATTCAGCTATCATAACTTGGTACAGCAGTATTTTGTGCTCTTGTGAGTCATGTGTACTCTCATAGCCTGTTTCCTGATGGAGAAAACCCACACCAAATTTAAGCTAAGCTTGAATACAGTGATCCTTTCAGCTTTTCTTTAATCTTAGACAGCTAACTGTACTTTTCCTATTCTTTTTTCAGCGCCTCTACAGGGCTTTATCAGATTGTTCACATATATCACATGTATCTGTGACAAGTTTCAGCAAATTCAGTAATATACATATAGTGACAGAGATTGCAACCCTATCCACACCTACCTGGGAGAAATCCCCATTAAAGATCGTGGTGGCATACTTCCAATACTGAGAGGATGAATGAGGTCATGAAATTAAAATTAAGGAATTTGATCTCAGTGTTTTGTCAGTCACATTTTGATGCAACGTACACAGTTGATATGTCAACAACATGAATAATGCTTTGGAAAATACTTAAAAAGAATTAAGGCACAATAAGAGCTGTGTTTATCATCACTACCTTGCTTTGAGTTTTCACCTCCTTAAAATAAATTTGCCAAACCTTTGTTTCTTACAGCCTGGTTCCTATGCAAGATGTTCTGCGATATAAACGTTACATGAGAGGTGGACTAAAGCTACCACCTTTAGGATCTGATAGGGATGTGAAGCAGACAGCTTTGACTAAGATGGAACAGCGTGCGGAGGTCAAAACGCATGCACCTGGAATCCTAGTAAGTGTGCTATTTATATATTCATTTGGAAGCTAGGGTTGTGCATCAGATTTTCCCGAGGCAAACTGGGCATATTCGGCAGGATTTAGGTGTTGCCTGAGTTAGGCTTAGATAGTTACGGATCACTGCAGGCCGGGTTGGGTGGCCCAGAGTGATCCAGGCCTGTTAGGCACCAAGCAGAAATGAGAGGCAGGCATCATGTTGGAAAACCCCATTGAAAGGCTGAGACATACCTGGCCAAAAACTGCATCGCCCCAGCCCAACAATGTCCAGCTTTCCCGCTTGCCTGAAGCACCATCCTGCAGGATTATAGTGGAGGCATCAATCTTGCTGCTGCAGGAAAGCCACTTGCAAAGCAGCAACCCACAGATTTGCACCCCCTTAGTTGTGAGTGGGGAGAAGGAGAGGCAATGCCTCCTTTCCTCGTGCTCCCTGCCTGCTGTATGTTTAATTGGGGTTTTAAACAATTAATTAAGCATTATCCCTCCCCCTGAACTAATTTGGAACCAGATCTAAGTTGGGCAGATGGTGCCCAGCTTGGCCTGATGTGGGTTGGCCTGACAGACAGCCTTTTCCTTCTCCATCAGGGCCATGAGTTGCATACAGCTCTATCAAAAACTATAGGAGAGAATCTGCATTTTACATTTAGCAGCAAGAATCATTCCGTGGATCCAAGGAAAATCAGTAGAACCCTGGGAAATTTGTCCATATTTGATTATAAGGAATTTACACTTGTAAATTCTGTACACCTTGTACAGATCTATTAGAAATGTGCTCCGAATGACACATTTTGGGCAACATTGTATCTGGTATATGATGTTATATTTACCAGTACAGAAGTAAGGCAGTGGGAATCCTGGAAGATTCAAATTAAGTACAGTGGTACCTCTGGTTGTGAACGGGATCCGTTCCGGAATCCGGTTCGCAACATGAAAAGAACGCAACCCACAGCGGCGCATCTGCGCACGCTGGTTGCGATTCACCGCTTCTGCGCATGTGCGTGACATCATTTTGCGTGTCTGTGCGTGCGCGAACGGCGAAACCTGGAAGTAACCCTTTCCAGTACTTCCGGGTCACTGCGGGACGTAACCTTAAAGAACGCAACATGAAGCGGACGTAACATGAGGTATTACTGTACAAATTTCACCATGACAATGGGATTCCAATAATAACCTCAGAAAGCAGTTTTGAAGGGTAACCAGTTTGACAGCATCTTCCCAATCCCACACTTCTGCACCATATACTGCTTGTGGGATTACCTTTTCCCCCAAAAATCTTAAGTGCAGGGGGTACCAAGTTACCACCTCAGAAGCGAGTAAAGGTAAATATTACTTGTAGGGTTGAGAACCTTGTGGAATCCAAATGCCCTGACCAGGTATAGTTCTGATTGAACTGAATTCTCAGACACTTACAATTCTTAATCTGTTCTATATTTATACAGTTATTTCCACTTATGTAGGTGTGAACTTTTAGCAGACAAACTATCTTAGTTTCAGCATAGCTCAAGCTAAGGAATTCCTTTTCACAAAATAATTCAAGGTCTCTGAGAAAATGTCTCATAAAGCTTGCGGCTAAGAATTGTAGCAGAAAAGTGCTGAGGCCCTTGAAGATCTGGGGTAATGTTATTTATATGAAAATTGAAGGGGGAAAAGTGAGGGAGGCTAGCAGATATCCCTGTCTTGCATCCCTTGAAGTTGGAATCCCCTTGTTGAGGTCACCAATCTGAAAATAAAGAGTTTTAATTAAAATCCATATTTTCTTGCCAATACTTGTAGTGAGCAATTAAAGCCCAAGCCCCTCTCTGAGTATCAAACCCAAGGCCAAGGGTAATGTTAGTATGTTTGAAGGAAGCGAGTTGTGTGGGTGGAGCTTGTAGTATAATGCTGGTCTTGCAGGTAAGCATATCTGTGATACCGCTCACATTTTTCGTCAAGATTCTTTGGTGTAAGGAAATATACATTTCTAGCTAATCTTATATACTTGATCATTTCATGTTTTTCAGATATGTTTAAATATGTTGCATAATGAATCTAAATACTCTGCGAAGGGTTTTCTGCAGAATTTGCTGGTCTGTGGACTGCAGTTTGCTTAGTAGTCATTAGGACTCCGTGAAAAAATATACTATATTTAAATTATTTATTTTTTAAAAAATAGACAAAATGAGAGTTTTGAACTACCAGATGCAATCATACAAAGTCGATTAAAAAAAAGCATATACAAGCGTTTTATAGTATTTTCTTAAGTCTTACTTCTTTCCTTTTATTTGCTTTTTCAAAACAAATACTGTCAGTCTTTGTGTGCTAGTTTGGAGAAACTAGCAGAACGAATTTCAACATTGATATGTCTAAATTACATCCGAAAAATAAGAGCAAATATTATTAAAGCAATGTGGCAGCAATCTGTGTTAGAGTGGATGTAACAAAAGAAAATGGCTTGTTCCATCGCTAGGAATTGCAATGATATATTTTAAATTGACATGAAATGGTTTCTGATAGGGTGGGCAACATCTGCTTCCACTTTGTGTGATGGTGGCCTGTGGCTCCAATATGCAGGCATCATTGCGTGAGCATACAATTCAGAAGTATGCCTCTCCATAACTCTGTTAGGAATTTGCTCTCCACGCTCTCCCCCCATCTTTCCTTAAGCACTAGGCTACTGAGGAAGACAGTTTCCTCTTATTAAAAGCTTGCGCTAGTAGAAATCAAGTTTGCACAGTTGTGTCATGGGCTGCTGCAGGGTGGTATTCTATCTTCCAATGTTTAACACCTACATAAAGTCATTCATTAGGGAATTTGGGGGCCAGGTGTCACCACACTCATCTCTATTTCTGTATAACATCTGGATTAGGAGAGACTGTGCAGGCCCTGGACTGGGTCTGGATGCAGAGGTGGGCTGGATGAGGAGAAATAAGCTGATTTGAATCCTTGGGATCTTTGGGTGAGTGATTCTTGTGTCAGAGAAATTGATCAGTCACCTGTTCTGAATGGGTTTTCACTTCCTCCGAAGGAGCTAGTTCAGAGCTTTGGGGTGGTCCTTTGTCCAGATTTGTCACTAGCCTTGCGGGCTAGAAATTACTTTTACAGGCTTCAGCTGGTAAGACAAATGCCAGCATTATTGGACCAGGTTAGCTTGACCACAGATGCTTTGGACTACAACTCACATCATCCTTAACTATTGGCTATACTGGCTAGGGCTGATGGGACTTGTAGTCCACAACACATGGTGGGCACCAGGGTACAGGTGTTTGTTTTTGCAGCTATGCCTTGTTAAATTCTGGGTCTGCCTTTCTAATGTTTCATGAAGTTTCCATTCTGTGGAGTATTTGTAGATTTTAAAAACCACCTTGCTTGTGCTCATGGATTTGTCTCACTGGATTGAGACAAAACATTTCTTGTGAATTTAACTTTCATAGGTATAACCGAATCCTCTCAATGGTCTAGGACCGGCACATTGTATTTGGTCATACAAGTAATGTAGAAATACTGACATTTAACAGCCCTTTTACAGATTTCATAGTAGGTGAATGCAAGCTGAATTCCAGTAAATATCCATGCAGTACATAATAGCTGCAAGAGTCTCCATTAGCTCAAATAAGAGATTAATTTAATGATAATGAAATCCATTGATCATTAATCTAACAATCAAGGGAACCGAAACTATTTCCTACTCACAAACTGCAGCAACAACAACAATAATAACAATGACAACAATTGTATTATTTATACCTCGCCCATCTGGCTGGGTTTCCCCAGCCACTCTGGGCGGCTTCCAACAAAATAGTAAATACAATAGTCCTTCAGATATTAAAAGCTTTCCTAAACAGGGCTGCCTTCAGATGTCTCCTAAAAGTCTGATAGTTGTTTTTTTCCCTTTGACATCTGGTGGGAGGGCGTTCCACAGGGCGGGCACCACTACCAAGAAGACCCTCTGCCTGGTTCCCTGTAATTTCACTTCTCACAGTGAGGGAACCGCCAGAAGGCCCTCAGTGCTGGACCTCAGTGTCCGGACAGAATGATGGGGGTGGAGACACTCCTTCAGGTATACTGGACCAAGGCCGTTTAGGGCTTTAAAGGTCAGCACCAACACTTTGAAATGTGCTTGGAAACGTACCGGGAGCCAATGTTGGTCTTTTAAGACCGATGGTCTCAGCACCGCTCCCAGTCAACAGTCTAGCTGCCGCATTCTGGATTAGTTGTAGTTGCCGGGTCACCTTCAAAGGTAGCCCCACGTAGATCACATTGCAGTAGTCCAAGCGAGAGATAACTAGAACATGCACCACTCTGGCTCAACAGTCTGTGGGCAGGTAGGGTCTCAGCCTGCATACCAGATGGAGCTGGTAAACAGCTGCCCTGGACACAGAATTGACCTGCACCTCCATGGACAGCTGTGAGTCCAAAATGACTCCCAGGCTGCGCACCTGGTCCTTCAGGGGCACAGTTACCCCATTCAGAACCAGGGAGTCCTCCACACCTGCCCGCCTCTTGTACATATGTCTCGTCAGGATTCAACCCCAGTCTGTTAGCTGCCATCCATCCTCCAACCACCTCCAGACACTGACACAGGACCTTCACTGCCTTCACTGGTTCTGATTTGAAAGAGGTAGAGCTGGGTGTCATCTGCATATTGATGAACACCCAGTCCAAACCCCTGATGATCTCTCCCAGCAGCTTCATGTAGATGTTGAAAAGCATGGGGGAGAGGATGGAACCCTGAGGTACCCCACAAGTGAGAGCCCAGGGGTCTGAACACTCACCCCCCCCACTTTCTGAACACAGATCTGGGTTTAACAAGAGCTCACTTGCGCCTATGTGCTCCTAAGCAGAGGACTTCAGTTTAGTCACCACTGTAGTCATTTAAAAATGCCCCAAGAATAGCATATGATTCTGCTCAAACTGAGAGTTTCCTTTGTTTGTTTGCACAGATAAAGCTAAGGTGCCCTTGCCAGCTACAAGCTGCAGAGAAATGCATCTTGGTGTAACAGATGATGAGTGAAAGGGTTGTTTAGTTTAAAAGCTGGAATTTATTCAAGGAGCATAGAGATGTGAGGTTGGAACAAGTATGCACTCATCCATGCAAACAGTGATGTTGCCTAGAGAGACAAATAATTTCTGAAGGAAGGGTAGAAAAGAAGAATTAGCATTTTTTTTACCGCATCATTAAATGGATAGCAATAAAGTTAGTAAAAAATATATAGCCAAATGAGTGTTGCTGATGGGAAGATTTTTGGAATATTGCTATAGCAATATCTCTGACAGATGAAATGTTGATTTTAACAGATTAAAGAAGTGAAAGATCTTAAGGAGCTTCATTTATATTTGAGAAGATTAAAATATCCCATTATCTCGACCTTACTCAGATTGGAAGAAAAGAAAAAAATGAAAGAAAAGAAATCCAAAAGGTCACCAAAGAAGGGTTAGTAACTTAAGTATTTTTTATAGCATGTGAAGGAAGGATATTTTAGGAGATGGTTATGACATTTCTGTACTGCATACAGACCTATGGATATCCTTACACTTTGATTTCTGACTATTATATTTAGTATTTATCTACTTTCATCTCAAAATGTACTTATTTGATTTTAGCGCTGATCTGTTCATGCTATTAGTGTTTCATATTTCAATGTTATGGACAAATATTTACACAGTATGTTTTTTCCATTTTGTGGTCAGGAAGCAAATCTGTGGGCAAGTTTGCAATGCAATGACTAGAAATGTGCCATTTGATTTACAAAAATCTGAAGAATCTGAATGTTTGTGTCAACCCTCTCTGCAGTATTCAGGGAGGGATTGTTAACACATGGGTGCATTTCCTTAATAAAATGACAAGGACCTCTGCTAATTTCTTGAAAGTCGGCTTTGACATTGACGTATGAGACTGAAAACGTTTATTCATCCGTCATCGTCAGTGTCATTCACGTGGTGTCCGATTATTAACCATGTATGTCTTAGAGTTCCACATTTGGAATATATTTTGCACAACTCTATAGACTACAGGCCTCTGACGAAATGTTTGCAAGGTGTTGGGCATCTAGTCTGTACACAGAAACATGTGATTATCTGCAGCACTGACTAGGGAGCACATGGTATTCCACACATAGCTAGCATGATAAGACTATTGTCTAGGACCATTCATATCTGGTGTGAATGTGCTGTGTAATCTCAGAGCGATTCCAAGCTCTTACCATTACCCTCTTGATCACAGCTATAAATACACTCATTGGTGGCCATTTTTCTGCATTTGTTTGTTTCTTTGAAAGCATCCATTGACAGTGTTGTGGCTGGTTCTCAAATGGTTTTTCTCCCCATCCTCCTCCCTTGCAAGCATACTGTGGACATATAAGCATTGCAGTTTTACAAATAGCACCCAACTAAACTGAAATGTGCCTTACTTTGATTCAGAATGGGTCACAGTTTCTTCTCTGATGGAAGAAAAGTTGTGTGATCTCTACCACACAACTTCTTTCCCCATCGTCCTCCATTGCAAAGAATTAGTGGACACTGACACATTGCAGTTTGATTATACATAGCAACAAACAGAGCTTTGGTCCTATGCTCGCTGTCATGAGTGTGTGCACAGTTAAGTCATACCTCTTCAGTAGTGAACAGAGACCAAGATCTCTGCTTGTTTGGCAGTGTTTTCTTAGTCTTGTTTTTAAAAACAGCCACATGTAAAGTGAGTGGATTACTGGAAACTCAGATTTTGTAGGCATGAAAGTGGCATTGTGGAGGCCACTGAAGCTGTTAGTTAGCTTTTACTGAAAACAGGGATGGACCAAGAATAACATCATTTGGGTCCTTGCCATGAGTAAAATGCAAGTCCATCTACTCTGATCTGTAGCTTAAAGCTGTCTCAACATAGGAAAATTGAAAAACATGGGTTTTGATAAAGTGAAATATGTGTATTTTTGTTTTAAAAACCAGCTATGGAAAGTTGTCATTCTCAAGATTTCAGAACATTTTTTGCCAGGATACTGGGTCCTCTTGAGGCCTTCAGACCACCGTGTGCTGGCCATCTCAGATTTAATGGATTCAGCAAATTTGAGTAGACAAAAATGCCATTAGTATTATATAGAACCATTCCTACATAGCTGTTTTCATTTATTTTTATTAACATTTCAGTGCATAAAGATTTTTACTGATGTGCAATGTGGGTTTCATTATTAATCTTTTATGTTGTGTTAATGAAGAGGAAATTCTATGCATACAAATGTGCTTAAGTACTCTGCTTAGCAGTGTCTGACTGTGGTGGTTGAAGGATTTCTGGGTCATGGGGAGAAGTTATAGTTACATTTTCAGATTCATTGACACTGATTTTCATTATTTTTAACGACACCTTCTCAAGTCACCTTCTGAAAGCATATATTGTGTGGTTCATTGCGGCATGTCAAAACACTGTATTGTGACAATCCTCCAACAATCACTCAATAAAGTAGCTAAAAACATAACTGTTGCCAACACTGTCTAGCAAAGGCACTGGTATTTCTAATTGTGTTATTTTTGGTGACATTTCGGGGGGGCTTTTTATTTTCTTATAGATTGGTTTATGACTTACCTTTCCTACTCGCATAAGAATTCTTTCTACTTCCCTCAATAACTTTGATGATCCCCAATGGAGTGGCTTATCTTTAACAGTGTTTTCGTTATCTGCCACACTGCATTTCTACTGGCAAGTTTTAGATAATGGCCTGTTTAAATTTAACATCTCATATCCTTCTCTTGTGAGAAATATTCCAGTTTGATTCGGTTACCTTGGTGAGCTGTTTCGACTTAAATTTATTTAAACCTAAGAGAACATGGTGTGGAACATCAGTGAGCTTGCAGTCTAAAGTCAGGCCAGTGTAGCTGACAGGAGGTGGTATGAAAAAAGGAAAGTTGTGTTGCTTCTGGAAAGGTACGGTTCAGGAAGAATGTTTTGAAGAAGGATTTGAAGCCATTCTGAGTGTAGTTTGACAGAGGTATAGATCGTTCCAGTTGCAGAGAGTGGCACAGAAATGGCACAGAAACATAAAATGGAAGCAGGTCGTTAACAAAGGCCAATAGCAAATGAGTTCAGGTGAAAAGAGGGAATTGGGGAAACATTGGTACTGTTCGATACAGAGACAAGATGAAGGTTGTGTAAGTTAAAAACAGTATCAGCAAGATATTATGTGAGTGGCAGAAAATGACTTGGAGCCAGCAGTGCCAGATAGTTGTGACATGGAAATAAGTGACCATGGTTCTTCTTCTGGTGTTCTACACAAGCCAGACCCATCTCACAGGTCACTAGCGAGAGAATTGATATCTGGAGTGATGTGCGCAATAATAGAAGCACTGCATGCTTCCAGGTTTTGTGAAGAAATATACCACCACCCCCGCTCTGAATTTTCTTGCCTGTTGTTGCTGTTCTCACCTTGGGATTGAATTTTTAAAAATCCTGACCTATTGACAATGATTTATTCTAATTCCCATTTTATTCCTTGATTTCAATGAGAAATTAAGGTTTGTTTTTTATTATTCTGCTAAAAACCTCACAGTTCTAACATATAACATATACATATTTATATGTATTGCATTCACAATATTATATGCATATTATATGCACATACAGTCCCACTTTTTTAAACTAACAGATACATAAACGGATACATACAATGAATGAAATGGTATAAAATGTTTATGTATTAATTCTTATAAAATCATGCTGCGGGAATATACCGTATTGGCCCAAATATAAGCCGCACCTGCAAATAAGCTTCATCTTTAAAATTTGGCAGCTTGGGGGAGGCTTGGAATCCGCGGATGAGACGGGCGCTATTGCCCTGCACTCTGCCGGTGGTGTAAGGTCCTGAATATAAGCCACACTTTAACTTTTCACAATTGGAATTTGGGGGGAAAGTGCGGCTTATATTCGTGCCAGTACGGTAGTATAGCATGGGAACTGATGCTTTTATTTGTTAACAATATTGTGTGTTTAATTTGGCGTGTGCACACACATGCATATATATATATATATATATATATATATGGGACGCGGGTGGCGCTGTGGGTAAAAAGCCTCAGCGCCTAGGGCTTGCTGATCGTCAGGTCGGCAGTTCGAATCCCCGCGACGGGGTGCGCTCCCGTTGCTCGGTCCCAGCACCTGCCAACCTAGCAGTTCGAAAGCACCCCCGGGTGCAAGTAGATAAATAGGGACCGCTTACTGGCGGGAAGGTAAACGGCGTTTCCGTGTGCTGCGCTGGCTTGCCAGATGCAGCTTGTCACGCTGGCCACGTGACCCGGAAGTGTCTCCGGACAGCGCTGGCCCACGGCCTCTTTAAGTGAGATGGGCGCACAACCCCAGAGTCTGTCAAGACTGGCCCGTACGGGCAGGGGTACCTTTACCTTTACTTTACCATATATATATATATATATATATATATATATATATATATATTCACAAGCAACTTGGTGCTCATCACAAAAGGGGATCTGATGTGGGGAAAGCTTAATTGGGTCAGAACCACCAAATTCAAACCGCATCCTCTCCATCTCTGATGTTGTTTCTTGCCTGCTCCTTGCAATGACATTGCAGCTTCCTGAGCTGGGAAGAACAAGTGGTAGCAGCTTTTCCCTCACCAGAAAATGCATGCGTTGCCATTGGCATTTCAGATTTGTCATGTCGGCTGGTATCCACTAGCCTGGAAATCACTGAAGACACTGCCTTCTAGTTGTGTGTCACAGAAGCTAGAACTATCTCAGAGGTCACCAGTAAAAAGATTCATATCTAGTGTGCTGTGCGCAATAGACTTAATTTCATGTGCTTCAGCATTGTTATTCACCAACAGAGATGACATTATTCACTGACCTGCACTTTCTTATACCTTCCTACTCATCATTAGGCTAGCCTAACCTGCAGAAGCCTTTTATCTTGGGAACACGGGAAAATGGGATCTAAAACTTCTTCTGGAGTACTTTCAGTTAAATGGCATAATGCTATGGGCTTCCTTCATATTGCACTATACTTGATTTAGATTGTTTCCTAATGGGTTATCCATTTCAGCATAGCATATGCTTATAGAAAAGTACCTTCATTAATTACAAGGACACTTCTGGGGAAACAATAGATTTGTAACTCTCCCGCTCCCTTCACAAACTTGCTTTATTAATGTATTATATTTAAGCTGGTTAGCATTTGCATGTCAGCTTCCCCCAGTCATTTTAAATTTGATTATGAATGATTGGGTGAAAAGTCATAGGTAGGTGAATCGACAGGAAACCAGATGTGACCAACCAAATAATAAATTGCTTGCTTTTGATAAGGGACAAGATCCAAAGAATTATCCACCCAGTTCCCTGAGCTCAAAGAGGCTTGGCCTTATGCACATTCTTAAATTTGAGCTCTTCTAAAGCGGTTCACAAATGAATCAATATTATTAATTCTACTAGCACTATAAGTATGCTAGGAGGCCAATAGGTATGTGTTAGCTTTTCAGTCTGCTTAAATAATTTCAAGAAGCCATCCTCAGTCCCCCCCCCCAGCAAGGAGGCCATGTAATAGATTGCACAATACTTAAAGGGTTATTATAACAAAGCTGACAGGAAGAAGTGTAGAGATGTATGCCAGTGGGTTATACTGTACCACACATCTTGGATAAAAGCGGTCTTTCTGTCTCTTCCTGGCATGCTGTTCACAATTTTACCAGAACAGACCTCGTTTTGTTAAAACAAATACCTTGTTTTGTATTTTAAAAAGAAGGTGGGTGAGACAGAAGTGTTCCCCCCCCCCATGTGGTTTGATTTCAAACTCCACAGGCAAAGGAAGCAGGGTTTGCAAGAGCTGCCCAATCACCTGATTGGTAGACCCTGCAAGGATTGCTTTCAGCAGGGATTGGCTCCATTTGGGAGCTCTTGCACCAGATTTTAAAGCCGCTGATTACAAACCCTGCTTGCCAAGTAACAACTGGGAGCACACTTTAAGGCTCTCAGTTGTTCCTTTTCGGCTAAATCTTTGTCTTTCCCACACCTGATGTCAACATTTCGAGGGGCAGGTGAATGTGGCTCGGGGGAAACCGCCTTGTGAGCCAATTTAGGAACCTTGCCGGGCCTAATAAAGCACACAGGCTGGAGGTACCCTTGCCGCAGATATAAAAAGAACAGAATGAGCAGAAATATTAAGTTACAGTTGAGAAAAACGAAATGAAATTTAGCATGCTCGTTTTCCTTATTTGCGTGTTTGGTCTTTGGCAGTGGTATTCCAATGTAATATCAGATTTGGCTTACCATCAAGTGGAACAGTTTCCCAGACTAGCAACTTTGCAGGGGTGTTTTCAGCACAATCTGCTCCCAATCTTCCCTCCCTTTTCCATTCTTGCTGTTGCCATTCCGAAACAGCCCCCTCCTTTTTCATTTTCACCCCCCTGTGTCTTTATTAGGCTGTAAATCTGTCACCTCTGTATATTGTACCTAATGTTGAATGAAAGTCTTATTTAATAGGGGGAGAATATATCTTCTTCTGTTACTGCTTTCCCCCTTCTCTTGAGCATGCAACATTCTCATACATATTTGGACCTAGCAAATGAACAATTGAGGGATGTGGGGCAGCTACTGGCTAAAATGAGTGGAAGAAACATTTCACTCTATGGCAAGTTTGGAGAAGATGAAAAAAGCACCATTGTATTCTAGGATAAGCTGTTGTCAAGGGTTAGTGGGGAGATACGGTAGGCCTTGCAGGGCGCAGCTGGTTTGGGCAAGCAAAGAACTAGTGCAGGGTTTTCCAAACTTGGTTCTCCAGCTGTTTTGGGACTACAGTTCCCATCATCTCTGACCAATGGTCCTGCTGCTAAGGATGATGGGAGTCATAGTCCAAAACCAGCTGGAGACCCAAGTTTGAGAAACCCGGAACTAGTGCAAGGATAGCCATTCATCCAGGGTTCCATCTTTGCAAGCCTCATAAGTATGTCCCTGAAGCAGTCGGAAGAATTTTATAGACTTTCCATTATTTGGTTATTTGGATGGGATTTGCTTCTTTATTTTAAAATGCTATATTGTGACTTTGTTAATGAAAACTTTAACACATTGAAAATATTTTTTGGGAAATACTAATGTAATTATTGAACTGTTTTATGTTCAGAACACTTGGGCTGGAAGGAACCTGAAGTGAAATCTGATGAGATGGCAATGAAATTCAGGCTTTCCATACATAGAATGCATTTTTATTCATTGCATGATGAGCTGCAGTCGTGTCGAGAGAGAGACAAAGAAATTTTTGACGCTGTACATGACTTGCGTTACTTCATGCAGCCTGTAACTCCAACTAAGCCTATTCATGAGCCAGTGAGCATAGATAAGAGGACCTTTGCTAAAGTATTTGGAGCTGTCAGACTTCGCCCCTTGTGTGCTATTGATAAAGCATACTTGGAAAGTCAAAAGTTGGATGTTGAGCTTAAAAAGGAGCGGCATGTCATGCGGATGCAGATTATTAAATGTGAAGTTACAGACTACATCCATCGTTTACAGGAAGATAAAATGGAGAAAGTTCAGATGGAAAACGAAGAGGGAAAGCTCCAGACTAAAGATACTCTGGAAGAGCAGAAGATCAAAAGATCAAAGTCAATTAATAAACTGAGGCAAAACTATACCAATTTTGTAAACATCAAGAAGAAAAAGACATTTGAAAATACATTTGTTCAGCGCTTCAGCACGCAACATCTTTCTTTGACAAATGGCTTATTAAGAATGGATGGATGGAGGAAGAATAAGGAATTTGTGAAGGAACGAAAAGTTGTAGTTAGACAAATTATAGAAGAACAGAAGCAGCGAAGAGAGATGTTCGAAAATTTCCGTGAGGAGAGGTAAGTTTGCTTTTCTTAATTATTCACTGCACATAAAGCTTTGAAGTTTTCACAAATTTATAGATAGTCTTCAAGGATAGTTCTTGGGAAAAACTGGAACCCCCAATAAATAAATATTTATATCCTGATTTTCTATGTCATTGTCCAAGTGGCTACTATATATATTCCAGTTGCAATATTACAAGAGAGAAGCACAGACAATGACCAAACTTTTAAAAGGGAAGAATTTATTTGAAACCAAGGGGATAGTGATTCACAAGCTAGCCAGTGAATTTTCATTTGGTCTTTATTTATAACACAAATAAATGCAATTGAGGTCATATTAATCTCCAGGGATAAGGGAGTCCCACAGCTTCATCTATGGGACATGATGAAGAGACATGATCCAGGGCCCCTCTCACTGATCTGAGTGGAAGGGCATACGCCTATGCTCAGATAACAGGATTGGTGCATAATAATGTTTAGAAAACAATATAAGACAAAAACATAACAACTAGGCCTTTCTATGTGTAAAACATACATATCTTCAGTTCAGTTTAACTACAGTTGTTTGATGTATAAATCCAAGCTTTCATTCATCAAAAGGGGATATATTTCCCATAAATACATAAACCTCTTTTTAAAGCCTGTAAATCATCCACTACGTAGGTGCCAACTCCCTGGGTGCCTGAGCACCCACAAAATTCCCCATAAATGAATGGGCCGGGCACCCACAAATTTTGGTGCCAGGGCCATGTACGCTGGCACCCAGGTTGGCGCTCCTGATCCACTACATCCATTCTAATTCTGCTCCTTGTTTTCTTATATGTCCAAAGCAATTCCCCCACCCACCCAGCCCAGTCTTCTCCAGGTTAAAAAACTTAACCCAGTGTATTCCAGCTCTTTTTTACTTCTACTAATGACCAGACTTCAGACTTCCTGATACATGTGTGAGTGTAAAGAGAGTACTTAGGGAGCTCACTGATACCAGGAAAGACTGCTCATTTAGGCCACTATTGTCTATTCACACTGACAGTGACTCTCCAGGATCTCAGGCAAAGCTATTTCCCATCACCTCCTATCTGAGATCCTTAAACTTGGAGATGTAGTGTGGCACCTGCCTGATAAATAAGCATAAACAGAGTATTTTCCACCTTGGTTTTTATTAATTCAAATTTAGGGAAAACACCTTAAATGTGGCACCTTAAATGTTAAGACATGTTGTAATAGGATAAGTTTTTATGAGCTAGACCTTCTGGAAACTGTCACATTTAGGAAGTATGTGTGCAATACATACATATATAAACACCTTCACAGCACGCATACCCCAAACTGTTCTTTTCCCCTAGAGAGATGTAGAAGTTTATCTCTAGAAATTGAGATAAAAACAGATCTTGCCCCCTCCCATGATACTGCACTCAACAGCATCTGGATAAGCTGATAGGATTTACCCTTACCTAAACTGAGCCCTTAGCTGTAATACCTTTACTTTCTCTCACAGAAATCAATGGAAGCTATTTAGTTTTATGTAGGAAAGCAAAGGTGTTGAGGTGGAAGAAGAGCCTAGCTTTCAAGTCACATTCCGCTGCCCTCCATGGCTGAGGAGAATATTTTCTCCCACCTTAACGTTATCACCTCACTTTAAATTTCTCCATAAAAGCTAATGAAAGCTCTTCATTCGGACAAGTACTCAAGAAGAGAACTTCTGGGTGATACCAAAGACCTATTTAGTCCAGCCATTCTTTGTCCCATATTAGCCAGCAAGATGCCTATGGGAAGCTGGCAAGCAGGACATGAGAGCAGTAGCCTTCTCCTGCTGTTGTTCCCCAGCAAATCATATTCAGAAGCATGCTGTTTCTGATCCTGAAAGGTGATATCCAGCCATCGGTAGCCTTATCCTGCGTGGATTTGTCTAAGGTCAGAATTCAAACCTTCCCCTTCATCCCTGACACACGCAGCTCCTAGGCCAGAAGGTGGGAGAGGCAGGCAGATTTCTGCGCCAACCATGGTAGAAGTGGAACTTCCTTAGGATCCAATGGAACCTGGGCCAGCCCAGCCACTCCTCCAGAATGCCCTGCTTCAGGGCCTTCCATTGGTTATCAGCATCTTCCATTGGTTAACAGCATGAGCAGGCGTCTTGTTGATGGCCTGACCATGCACTCAGAGGCTTAGCTAAGAAAACAAGGCAGAGGGACTCCACCCATTTCAGCCCTCCCCACGGCCTCCTGTAAGAGAGGTTGGATTGTTCTGTAATTACTTTTAAAGCTGTCTTAAGTTAAGTGACCATCACTATTTTCTTTTGGTGACAAATTAAATCATTATTAGAAAACAGCATCACAGTGTTGAAACCCAGAGTTCTCAACTGATATATTTCATAAAGTGGCATTCTCATGGGAATCTGATGGGTCCTTATTTGGCATTCTCTATGTCATGGATATAGGATGAGCATTCTAGTAAAAAAAATTATCATCCTAATAAATGTTCCTCAATATTGATTTTGACAGGGCGAAAGTATTCATTTCAAAAGCAGTTCAAGGCAGTGTGGGTATCTTTACAACATGCACTATGTGTTCAGGTCTATACCAAATTAATTTATTTTGAAATTATTTATTTTAGTTAAATCTTGCTTTACTTTTTTCAACATGCCAAGTTTCTGCTGAAATTTATAGTACTACTGATAATATTCTTGGCCTAGATTTCCCCCCCAATTTTGTACAAAATGAATATCTAGCTAGGAATACTATCTTATCAAGTCATGGTTGTACCCCTTAGATAAGGTTTAGGAAGCCTTGAACATGAAGGCTTGGATGTAGCAAATAATCTATTTTATCAAAAAGCCATATGTAGTATGTAAGAATTCTTGACATCACCTAATTGCATTTACTAGCAGCTGTGATATAACATTGTTTTTCTTTATTTTGAAAGGCATACAAACCTAAAGCAAGTGTGTGTTTTTCAAAAGTAGTTTGGAAAGAGGAAATTTGAGTGACTTGTGTTTTTTGTTTCCCTACTTCTGTTTTAACATGGAATTTGGAAACCTCAGATATTCCCCTGGTAGAGCTGTCAGAATACCATGTCATGTATTACAACAATAGAGCCAAAGGAAACAGAAGCATCAGCCACTCACCCTTTCTCTGAGTTAATCCACACTAGAGTTCAATGTGGGTTTGAAGATGCTTGTGTCTCTATATTTTATTTTTCATGGCACCTATACAACATTCTCCTCATCAAAGGGGGCCTACACTTTCCCTATGCTGAATGGGGATTTTTCTGATCCACAGATAATCCGATAAGGGAAGAAAATGCAATATAAAAATGTATGTGTCAGGGGCTCAGGAGCAGAGGCGCAGGAGAGAGAGGAAAAGGAGAGCGAAGGGGAAGAATCTGAGGGCAGCGGAGGGCAGAATGACAGTGACCCGAGAGATTCCATAAGCCTCTCCAGTGAATCAGAAGATTCCCAGAAGGGGGCGCCAATGGCCAGGGCAAGGGGGGTCCCAGGGGGGACACACCAGAAGCAGGGGGCCAGCGGAGACTCCCAAAGCAGTAGCTGGAAATCAGGACCAGCTTCCCCACCAGAGCGTAGTGGGGGGGAAGAGCCCCATAGGTCAGAGTCAGCGTCTCCTCCGGCAAGCAGGGAGGAGGAGTCAGACCCAGCTGGCATCCCCGAAGAGGGAAGCAGCGACAGGAGCAGTATAACGGTCAGAAGGAAGGTGGCAGGCTGGGCGCGCGCGCCAAGTTCAAATGTACAGGCGCGCGGGACAGCAGAAAACCCGGATTGGGAACCAGGTCCTAAAGCTCGCCGGAGGGAGGGGGAAGACTCAGGGGACTCAGCGTCAGAAGAGTCTAGGAAGGGCAAGACCTCGGCGGACAAGCGGACCCAGAGGAGGAGGGAGCAGAGGAAGAGGTGGAGCAAGGCTAGAGTCTTAAACTGGTGTCTGGGGGGAGGAGACTCAGACGGAGCTTCGGCGGTCTAGGGTTTAAGACGTAGAGCTGCGCGCCGTGGCTGTAAAAGAGAAACTGAACTTCAATAAAGACTATTTTATATAACAACGGACTGGCGTTGGTCCTCTGTGAGCTGGGACCTGAGGCAGCTCTGACAGTATGTTACTCAGTTGTGGAGCCACTGAAGCACATTCCATGGGTCGGCTTCTTTTACATGTGTGCTGACATATTGCTGGGTGCGGTCTTATTGCCATACCCCTTACTTCCATTTTGTTTTCATCAGCCCAAAGGAAAGGATGCAGCTCTGTTCCATTGGCTGTTCCTGAAGGTGCATTTGCAATATTTTTATTTTACAATAAGCTCTTTTGCAGAACTGCTCTTGTATAGAGCAGCTATAGTAGAATGAAAATTAGATTTTTCTCTGCAGGTACAGGAGGCAGGAAATGGGAATGAAAGGAAGGAGCAGCCTTTCATGTGAGTGACTCCAAATCCTTGCCTGGCTTGGAGCAATGCACATTTATTTATTTTTCTGACTGCTTTTTTTTGTACAAATCTGGCCTATTTGTGTTTTTATTCCTTTTTTTAAGCTGTACTTGCATAGCTAAACAAATATCTGCAGTCATGCCCTCAAGACAGACATACACTTGTGTGTGTGTGTGTACACATACACTTTTGTGCAAATCTGGTATGTTGGAAAACTTGTATTCCAAAAATAAAGTTTTATTAAGTGGTGCATGCACCTGTGCACAAGCTCACATGAGATCTCTGGTTTCCAGATCTTATGGTGAGTAGAGAAGTTCTTATCAATGGAAGGAATCAATTCACAGCACAGTTGTATCCCAAGAAGCACCACCACTGTTGTGTACAGGAAACAATGAGGTCGATTTCAGAAGCACAAAATTGAAAATGCTCAAGCGTGGATGAAGGTTCTGAAACACGCACACACAAACAGCAACCCACTTACACACGAATGCCACAGTTTGGACACAGCCACTTTCTAATGTCGGAGTACTTGCGGTTCTATCCAACAAACTGATTCAGGGTGCTTCCAGACTGTTTTCAAGTAGGATTCAGTCACATACTGGCAAATTCAGGTTGCACAATTAAAGTTGTTTTGGAGTTCTTGCGCAATAATAATAATAATAATAACCCCTCAACACATCCACCCCCCCCCCCAATATTGTAAAGTCATGTGGGAAAGCACCAGAAATTGTGGGATAACAGTTGGCTTGATGCAAAGTCCACCAAGCTCCCTGCAAGCTGAATGAATGCTTAATAAATGGCCAACATTGTCTGCTCTCTCTGCAAACAAATAATCATGAATGCTCAATGAACAGATCATGTGGAAACAGCCTCTGTAGGAATATTTTTTGTTTTTGTTTGAAGTGGGTGCACTTTTCTGTTAGTTTCTTGCTTGGTTTACCCTTCAGCTTCTGTATCCTTGCTAACAACAAAGCCTTGCATGTCAGATTAGGCCCATTTACACCTGAACAATTTTAATGTCTTTAAATTGTGACATTTGTGACACCTGGGCGACCGTGCTGTTTTCAGCAGGTTCCCCATTTGCCTGGCTGAAGTCGGTAGGTGATCTTTTGCTAAAATGCAATACGAACTGGCACACGTTTTTCTGCACACACCCTGCATCTTGTTCCTTAGTGATAGGAAACATGCACAATAGTTAGATTTCTTTATTTGCTGGTTATTTTGTAGAGAACGCATTAAGTTAGTACCTACCTAGTCTCGCCTGCATTTATTGTTACTTTGGGGAAAGAAAGTTAATAGAACACTGATGCCGTGTATCAAATTAAAAATCAAGCGTAAGACCATAAAGGTGAATTTAATTAACTGAATGCTATTGTTATATCTTTCCATAGCTGATTACAATTTAATAGTGAAGCAAAGGGAGGACTGAAGCATCAGTTTCACTCTTGATTGATATAGTTTCTCATTCAATATATTTCACTTTTATGTATCTTTCTACAAAAGATTGTGGATGTTTCACATTTTTTTTAATTTAAAAAGTCTCATTTTATGGCACCATACATGACACAGAATGGCAGAGACATAGCTCATCCACAGTAGCATTTCTCCAGTTCCCACCCCCTAAATTTATGTAGTTCATTTTTATCCCTCCTTTCTTCCTTCGAGGAACTCAAGGCGGCCTACATAGGCAGCCTCCCATCCAAGTATTGACTAGATTTATACAGTGGTACCTCGGGTTACATACGCTTCAGGTTACATACGCTTCAGGTTACAGACTCCACTAACTCAGAAATAGTATCTCGGGTAAAGAACTTTGCTTCTGGATGAGAACAGAAATTGTGCTCCAGCAGCGCAGCGGCAGTGGGAGGCCCCAATAGCTAAAGTGGTGCTTCAGGTTAAGAACAGTTTCAGGTTAAGAACGGACCTCCGGAACAAATTAAGTACTTAACCCGAGGTACCACTGTATATGCTTTGCTTCAGCATGGTGGCTGTATCGTGCCTTGGGACCATTGACTTTAAAAAGCAACTGAAAAGCACAGGAAAAGACTGGTTGGAATGGAATCTCGTTGGAAAATTGTAACAGTGTGGAAGACACAAGATCTACCCACTTTGGAAGAATGGCAGATGAAGGTGATGGACTATATGGAATTGGCAGAAATGACTGGCAGAATCCGAGACCAGGGAGAAGAGTCGGTGGAAGAAGATTGGAAGAAATTTAAAGACTATCTACAGAAATATTGTAAAATTAATGAATGATAGAATGATGTTGGATAGTAATCAAGGGGTTTCCAGCTGTAATGCTCTAAGAGATATGAAAAAAGGGTTATAAATGGGTTAAAACTTAATGGTAAGGATTTGCTGAACCAATAAATTGAAGCGGAATACAAAAAAGGGAGGTATGAGGAGGTCCGGGAAATAAGTTAAAGGAAAATAAGTAACAGAAAATATGTGTGTTTTTAACTGTTTTTACTTTGTATTTTTCTATTTTCTTTTTCTTTTTTACTGTAATATTTTAAAAAAGCTTAATAAATATTTCATTTAAAAAAAAAGGAAAATTGTAACAGTGCACCCAAGGCATATTGCATCCACTAAACTACCATAGTTTAGAAAAGAATATTGAGACTGGGAACAAAAAGCCGTTGTGTGCTCTGTTGTGTGCTTGCTCGTGTCTCACATTTATCGCCCAACACTTATAAAGATGGTGTGATAGTTTCAATGTGGCCTGTTTCATTAAGTGAAGAAGTGAAAAAACCAAACACACATTGAACTTAGGTATGTTGCCAAGTGCCATATTATTATATAGAATGCGTAGATGGTGGGGTGGGGGAGGAACAGAGTCAAGATTTGGGTTTTTGACTCAAGGACAGACAAGAACAGTTTAGAACTGGTGATGAGGCTTCTTTTTCCCTCCTCCAGGCAAGATATGATGCAAAGACAAAACACAGATGAAAAACAGTTTAGGAACTGTGTGGCCCACGAAATGGCGAGAGAGAGATACAGGCAAGCCAAGGCAAAGGTTGAAGCCATCAAGCAACCCAAACAGATGGCGCTGTACTCCTTGCCTGTGATTGGCAGTTCTGGCACTGCAGTGCCTGTCATAGAGTATGACGGCTAAAATGGTAAGGTGTATAATATGGCAAGTGGAAAGAAGACCAACTGCAACTGGTTCTTTGAATGATCTAGATGAAGCTTTGTTGTCTTGCAGGTTTAGAATCTGTTTCTGTTGGTAATGATTTTGAAACGCAAACCAGAAAAAGACAATTTGATGAGCAGATCGACTACAACATTTGAAGTATTTCAGTATATCCACGTGAGGAAGAAAACAGCTGTAGCCTGTTGTGCTAATTGTTTGCAAATGTTGACTTTTAAGTGGCAAACATTTCAAGCGTACATACAATTACCTCTGTATTTAGCTTTAAAATTAAATTATTCAATGCCATATAAAAATAATTGGGGAAGAATTCACTGGTTGTTAATGTAGCCAAGTAGCATGAGTGCAATTAAACATGTTGACTACACTTATTGCAGACAGGACTGCTGGAGCTTTGCCTCAGTGATTCCTCCGTAACTGTATATACAACAATGCCATAAGCCATTAGCTCTCGATAGAATGTATTTTCAGTTGCTCTCTGGCTATGCCTTAATGCAATAATTTGGTCCCAGCTGCTAACTTTCATTAACACGCTGTGTACTTTGATTAGTTTCATTAGCTGCTTTCCTATGTGTAATTAATTATGCTTCTAGTTGATTCTGCTTTAATTCTTTGTATATATATTTCTCCATGTGTGTTGAGCCCAGGGAGAGCAGACTCGGGCAGTTGCTGGAAGAGGTGTGGAGTCTTTTGTTGCTCCTCCCAGCTCAGTAACAGAAGTTGTGATGAGATTTTCTTTTACTTTAGTTGTTACATCTGACACTGGAGACACACAGTAGCTTTTAAGAGAACTGGGGCCAAACTAGATGTGACACCATTCATGCAACTAACAATTTCTTGCATTGCACATTTACAATGTAAGAAAAACAGTGACACTTTCTTGTTACTTATCATTGCCTCTCATCAGAAGAAACAGACGTAGACTTTAATTTAGTTTTATATGTGTTGTTTCACATTTCCAAAGGAAATGGCAACTTCTTACAGGCAGCTCTCCATTACGCGGGGGTTACATTCTGAGGCACCTTGTGTTTAAGTGAAAGTGTGTTTATTGGGAATACCATTGAAAAAGCCTGCAAACACCACATTCGCTCTCCCAAGTCCTCCTTGCTCAGACTCCCAACACTGCACAGGCCTCAAAGGTCGGCGCAAGGGCTTGTGGGATCACTCTTGCGAAAGCTCATGAGATTTCTGGACACTGTCTTCGTCCATTTTGCCCCTTTTCATGCCATTTCTGGGTTCGTGGCGATGCACACCAGCATGGTCGTACGTGCTTGAATGGGCCTAAATGGGGAGTTGCCTATATTTGAAAGCTCTTGTGCTAATTTAAACTGGGTCCCCACCACCAACATGGATCCAGGCTGGACTTGCTCTCTTATAGCCCATCTGCTTCAACTTGTGGGACATCTATCCTATTAACAGGGAGACGATTACAAGATAGAGCAGAGTTGGAACTATTCTACTTCCTCAGACAAATCCATGCCCATTTTTCTTCAGAAATCCTTGGCCCATTTATTCCAACAAGCATTTGAAAGACTGTGCTGATGCTCCTAATGGTTCTTCCCAACACACTCATATTTTGATTGCTATGGGTGTTTTTAAATCAAGGAAACTGCTTCCTTTAAAAAAGGAAAAAAAGAAATCCACTCTCCCACAATAAGTCCCCTGCTGTCCTTTGGAGAAAGTTGTGTAGCGTAGACCTTTTTACTGTTCTAGTCTCTTATAAAATTTACACTCAAATCTCTTTGGTAAATGAATGCTTTCCTTTAACCTTTCTTCTGATTTGTTTTCCAACATTTTTCACATACAATTGCTAGTAGCTTTTTGCATTATTTTCTACTAGTGATGGGGGAGAAATTTTATTCAGTGCATATCTAGAGCCTAATAATCTATCAAATACACACTTTCTGAAACATTGCAAACTGAAACACTGTTATCCTTCGGAATTTGCACCTATCCGAATTTAGCAATGTGGTTCCCCAACTAATATTTGCAAAAATGCACATAGTAGGGAAAAGTGTGCATAAAAAGGTGAAAATTACATATATAATGCATTATATTAGGGGAAATTTCTTGCAAAAAATGTCTGCATTCGTCAAAACTGCATATGAAAATATGTTTATTATGAGAAATTCACACTAATATGCTGATAATTATTGTGAGAGGTTTATTTCATTGCAAATTGTTGCAGAAATGTGGAGAAATGAATTTAGGACTGGAAAAATTAGAAATTAGAGAACCAAAATTGACAGATGCTTCCATCCCTAATTTCTATTCTTAAACATACCTTGTACTGTCATAATGATTTGAGTATTTAATATTTAAAAAGATTTGTCCTTATAACATCCATATTGCTATTTTGCTATGGCTGCCCCACTAGTCTTGTTGGCAGCTCATAATTAGCACTTTCTTTTCTTTTTTGCTATTAATTGAATAAAACTGTTACTTACATTTCAGATTTTTAGACACTAGTCCTTTACCTCCCTGCCACTCAGCTACACAAATTCTAATTATTGTCACAAAATACAATTCTAAAAAGCATATGTCTCCTGGGTATCTCAATCTCTGCAGAATTTCCTACACATTTTGCACCCGTGCCATTTCTGCAAGTATTTTATCTACGCAGAAGATTATTTCCCCCTCTCTTATTCCTGGGCTTGTGGTCCTGATAAAGAACTTTTCGTGTTCAACCTTATTGGAGGTTGGTGACTGCCACTTCTTCTTATCCATTTCTCTGCATCTAAAGAAAGGGACAGACCCATATATTATAAAGGTCTTTATCAGGGTATGAGCAAAAGAGAAGAGCACACAAAAAATTCTGGGAACAGGCTGTTGAGGCCGACAATATTTTGAGTCAAATAATTATTTGGGGGCAAATGAATCAGTTTCATTAAGAGGCATCTAAAGCAATCCTGCAAGATCTCCGTTAAAGGTACTTCTATCAAATGTATCCAGTATCTGAATAAAATGGCAGTGGTCAAACCAATTCCCACTGTTTTTGTGGAGACTGTGCTTCATAAACCCCACTCTTTCAATCATAAGCCAGCATACTTCTTCTGTGCACTAATTATTGTTGCTTTTTTCCTGTAGAGCAGCAACAGAATATTTTCCCAGCCCTTCTCATTTTCTGTCTCTAAGGCGAAGCTAAACTGATGTATTCTGAAGCTAGATTTCATTGTTTGTGCCATGCTTAGTTTCAACTGTTGTGAGTTATTGTTTGCTGTTACAGAGAGCCATAATGAATTGTTACATTTTGACACCTGTCTTTCAATGTTTTCTATTCCAATCTACCAGTTTATTTATAGTCTACTCCACAGCTTGTTATTAAACATGTTTTTAAAATAATACAAAGACAGTATTCATGAATAATTTCCCTCTCTCTTTGTTTCAAGAGAATCTTACCTGGACATGAAAAATGGATATGTGAATATGGGATCTGTCCATGGTGAAAAAGTGTCTGAAATGGATAGAAAATCAAAGTCATACCTAATAACACCAAAGAGAACTGTTTATGTGAATTATTGGAGATTTTTAAAAATCCATCTGCAAGAGACTGACCAGATACAGCATTCTGCAAAAATTACCAGCTGCTATTTGTGTCATGAAGAAATAATCAATCAATCTTTATTGCTGTCAAAGACCAGACAGCATGAAGAAATAACAAAATATAGATATATTTATAAATAATTTGATATATGTTGTTCATTTTTTAAAATCAATAACCAGCTATATCTAAATGTACAAATGTTCCGTTTCCACAATTCACTGTAATTTTAAGTAACAATTGGGAAAAAGGAAAGTGTATGAAATGGTGGAACAGAAAAGATCTTAGATATGTTGTCATGAACTACATAAGGAGTGCCCATAGTGAAGAAGGAACAGACTGTTGTTTCAATGCCTTCGTGGCCCGGTTAATTTTTTTATAATGGTTATGGATATGGTAAATCTGGCCTGCTTTAGTTTGGTGAAGATGGTCTGTCACATACTTTGCAAACAAAATCTGGGATTCCTACTGCTACCACAGTACCAGACCTCTTGGAAGGAGATCTTCACTTTTTTGTTATATATTATTAGTGCCCGTTAGATCTTTAGGACTGTACATACTACAGGTTGTGCTCTGCTCTTTGAGCCATTCATCCTTGGCCAACAGAAGTATATCTTTCATATGGCAATGTGCTAAATGTGATAGATTTCATTGATAAGCTAATCCATGTCTTCTACCCAACACTTTGTTTTGGGGGTAAGGTTGTTTTACATCCCCACTTGCATTCCAAGCATTCTTTGTCAATATTGGATAATGAGCAATAAAATTGTGGTCTGCATAATCCCTGGCTCCATATCATGGCTTCTAATGTGTGTGTCTCTAAGAAGTAGTATTAATGACTAGAAGAAATTTGATTGTGCTGGATCTTTGCCTTGCTAAGAAATAACAGAACAATCTGAGGGAAACTGAGAGCCACTGTGGAAGTTAACATTTCCCAAATAGTGTCCTGTACCTGTGCTGGAACTGGTGGTATTAATGGATACAGGTTTTTCCTGTATTCCAATATGTGGTTTATTCGGTGTCTTCATTGTGTTTTGCTCAACAGAATGTGGATTTCTATAACTGGTCAAGCTACTAATGGCTCAAATAAAGCTAGATGTTGCATGGAAAATGCAGCACAGGGTGGACACTTCCTTTTTTCAAAAAAGAGATTATATGCACAATAGAAAAAGACAGATTTTAACAACATTTCTGGCACATCCATATTAAAATATGAAAATAATTACTAAATTTAAGTGCCACAAAAGGAAAGTCAAATCGTTTTACATCCAAATCACCACAAATAAATTATTTGCACCACACACCCAGATCCCCCCAGACCTGTAGATCTTCGATTAATGTGCCCCCAATTTTTCATGCAAATAGTTTTTGAATCCGAAAACAATTGTTTTAGAATAAAATTTAACAGCTGGACCTATATTGTTGCTGGTGATAAGGCATGGGAACCTCTTTGGCATAAAACTCAGGTTCTCATACTACTTTGTTGTCTTTCAGGAAGATATGAAATCCTTGAATAATATGGGCGCATGGGACACTTGTTGGAGGGCAGGGAAAGTTTGAAGTGGTATCCTTCCCAACCTCGCTTCATCTGAGTAAATTCCACAAACTATTCTTATTCTCCCCTTTTATCATTTTCTACTCCTAAAAGCACACGGGGGTGTGGAAATAATCTGGTCTACATTTTAAAGCAAACTAACTGAATTCACACCTTCCTGACACACATACATATTTATGAACTAACATAATAGTACTTCGGAATTCACACTTCTCTGAATTTTGCAGTATGCTTTTTGGCTCAAAAACCACCAAAATGTGTAAACAACTACATATTTTGGGGTTAAAAAAATGTAGAAATGCATACATCTTGTGATAAAATTGGTATTTATGAATATTTTTAATATAATTTTGAAAACATGGGATGGAACAGACTTCTTAGTGCATACACAATTTACACAGACCAGAAACTGAGCAGTCCATCCATATACAAAGGAGTGGGTGTCCTTTGTGCTACCATTCCCAAGGGAGATTCCAGTGCCATCATGGACACATACAAATACTATGCGCACAGTAGATATGTTGTCTGCTTTATCTTGCTCTAGATCAGTTCTTAATTGACATGGAAATGTGGTTTTCATTCAGAGTTGAAGAAGCTCAGTCAAAACATAACATCTTCAACACACACACTTTGTACACACTGTACAAAGTATGAGTTTATGAGAATGCAGTTTATGAGAATGGATAAAGAGAAGAAGAAGAGTTTAGATTTGATATCCCGCTTTATCACTACCCGAAGGAGTCTCAAAGCAGCTAACATTCTCCTTTCCCTTCTTCCCCCACAACAAACACTCTGTGAGGTGAGTGGGGCTGAGAGACTTCAGAGAGAAGTGTGACTAGCCCAAGGTCACCCAGCAGCTGCATGTGGAGGAGCAGAGACGCGAACCTGGTCCCCCAGATTACGAGTCTACCGCTCTTAACCACTACACCACACTGGCTCTCAATATATTTTACACAGGTAAGTTATTATATTCCATTCAAATGTGATTTGGGTTTTTCCAATAGTTATAGCTAAACTTTTTTGTCTTTCCAATCAGGCCAATGAAAATTTGCTTTCAAGTTGCTTTGACAATATCTGGTTTCGACCTAACGGTATGCAGAAACCATGCCCCCCCTCCCCCAATTTCACTAATATTATAAAACTCCAGGCTTTTTAAAATTCCTCAGATGTTTCATCGGCTTTGAATTTCATTTTAGATGACATTTTGGTGCCAATTCTTTTTCTAGAACCCATGTTACAGGTGCTGTTATTTCAGTTCACAGTAAAAATAGAGGGATGTTGCTTTAGTCTTTTTATCTGAATTTTCATTGAGCTTTCCAGTAGATGGCAGCATAAATTCAGTCTTTCTAAAGACTACATTGGATAAATTGCAAAGAAAATGTCCCTTAATTGTGAAGGAAATGTTAATAGATGTCCAGAAACACAGTCATTAAGATGCAGTTTGCTAAAGGTATCCTTGTTTGAAGGAGTCTCCAAATATTGGATTTTAGTGTTAATAAACAATTGGGCGGATTTGTAGAGAACTGTACTTTTACAATAATAGAATTTTGCAGTTACCTGTAAAATGAATCTTTGTTTGCCTGACCTGGATTTTCATTTTTTCTTTTTTTACAAAAAGCTTGATACTGTGTAGCAGGAATGAACACAACAGGGGAAATGTAGCTGTTTTTTGTTTTGTTTTTAATAGATGAGATTTACTTTAAAGATCGACCAGCGAGCTATGATGAATCGCTGTCGTTACCTACAGGAAGTATTTAATTCAGATTCCATTAGCAGCATATAATTTGAAAAGTCCTCTTGCTTTAACAAGGGGAGGATTATTCAAATAATTAAAATATTCCACACCTTAATTCTGGGAGCTTATACCATCAAAACAGTGGACTTCCTACACTCTGCCTTTCTGTGTGCATGAAAAAGGGAGCCACAGCAACGGGGCGGTGGGGGCATTTCTCCTAAATGCACATAAAGCAAAATAAAACTGTTCCTCACATGTGACAATGCACATGTTAGATCCAATTTCTTGCACAGATGCAGAGTAGGAAATACATGCTGTGCAAATTGAAGCTCTAATGCTTCTGACCACCTGAACCTCAAAAACAATATCAAAAAACTCCTGTGACAGTAAAATGTGTTAAGCAAATGTGATGATCTTGTCAACCTGATCACCTCGGACTGTTAACCTGTGTGATAGTGATCACATTTACCAGCACCACCACACCAAACTGGAAGTTCAGGAGGCACTTAATAGGATCTGGCCTCTTCCCTACAGCAGAAGCATGCATGTCTGATTCATTTTTTGTTATGGTGTCATTTAGAATTTTAAGTAATTTAATTTCTGCCAACAGGCACATAGCCTCTCTTTGTTTCCCACTATTTATTGAACTTGAGGAGCCACAGGAATCATAATGGATTTAGTAAAGGAGCCCAGATTCCACCTTTTCTTTAGGATGTGTAAGGAATGGCCAACCTTCATCCTATTGCTGGGCTTGAATATTTTATCCTAACATATGAAGCCCTGAACAGCTTGGGACCAGGCTACCTGAAAGATCACCTTACCCCTGTATGATCACTTTAGTCACCAGGAAAAATTCTGCTCACAGTACTGCCACCAATAAAATATCATAGGACTATGAACCCCAAAAATGGAATTTTCTGCTATTGCCTGTGTGCTATGGAATGGCTATGGACTATATATTAAGCACCATCCATCAGTGTGCTATGGAATGGCTATGGACTATATATTAAGCACCATCCATCAGTTGCTTTAGATGTCTTACAAGGACATAACTTTTGGTTCAAATTTTCCCGGACCCCAAAGAGCAGACCCTGTTTTATGTATCTTACTGGTTTTATGTTGTAATTCTATTTCGAGGATACTGTTCATTGTTTTTATGTTGTACACTTAGAGCTCTCTAGTCTAAATCATTAAGTGGTTTTTTTAATGCTCCTGATTAAATAAGTAAACAATCTCTCTCCCTCAACCTGTTGTGGTTCAAGCCATAGTTTCCTTTTCATTGTCCTTCCTGAGGAGCAATCTATTGCAGCGATTTTTTGTCGTTGAAAAAATGTTATAAAGTTATAAAGTTTCTCTCTTTGCACTTCAGGGTAGCAAAATTACTGAAAAGGGGGAAGGATAAATGTCCAGGTTTTATTTCAGCCAAGGCAACAATGCTGTTTACCTTCCAGTCCTGCTTCCTGTCCTTTTGAAACACGCCTCTGAAAACAGCACTAATAGTCATGTTATATTGTTGACTGTATAAACAAGAAGGCACATAGGGGAGAGCTGAGATCTGGTAAGAGCAGTCTCTTATGAATTTCACAGCTGATAGGTGGGAAAACAAGAAACTCAGAAATGCATCTTATGCTATGAAACACATACTAGCTTGGGTTTGGCCTGGTTCCCCAGAAACCCATATGTGACTCTAGTCTTAAGATAAAAGCAAGATCTGCCTTATCTTGTTAGCTAGCCTGACTTGGGCAATCTTTTAGCTAGGGTTGCCTGGGATTGATCCTAATGCCCTTTTTCATTAAAACCACACACTCATCACAGAGCTATGGTCCTCCTATGGCATAGTACTTTTCCTCTGTCACATACAAACCATTAGCTGCTCCTTCAGCATTTCCTAGATGAAAGGGTGTCTTTTACCACAGATGACCCTAACGAAGCACCACAAAACACAAGACAAGGAGTGAAGACAGATGGGACATTTGTGCAGCAGGGAGGCCAACCTGGAAGCACCTTAATTGTGCTTAATCCAAATTAGCATTTCCTTTCTAGGGCTCAGTTCTGAAAAAACTATTTCCTGAGGAGATTTCCTGAGGAGAAGCACCCACTCCCTGGTTTTCCCAGAGCCCACATCTCTTTCCTTGAACCCTGAGGAGACCCCTTTGCCACCAGGTCCACAAATTCGTCCACAGACTTCTCAAGAATCAGAGCCCTGAGGAAATACTGCCTCAGATTAAAATCCCAGGGCCTAGAAGAAGCCAGTAGTTGCAGAGGAAGGCCTTTAGCTGGACAGATGCAGTGTTGCGGATGCGGCCTCTAGTTAAGGAATAACTAATGCATGCTAATGCAGTTGCTCCAGTATACTGCTGAGGTAAAATGTATCTTTTGCTTCAGCTGCAGGATTGCCAACCATAGTGCTGAAAAACCACACCTAGGTCCCTCTCCAAGGTGCTGATGATGCCTTGCCTTTCTGTCTGCCTGGAACAGGGTTAACTCACAT